GCTGTTATTGTTTTGTTGTATTTTCTACTTGACTTTTCTCTTTATAAGTTGAGATCTCTTGGTTATTCAATTTCCTTCACATTCCTCCCCTCCTCAGGAATGAATTAATATGATTGTTGTGGGCCTTCCGGGTGGTGCAAGGGGTTAAGCACCGCACTATGAAGCAGTCCGCAGCCTGTGCAGCACGGGTTCGATCCCCGGCCAGCCAGGGAGCAACCCACATGGAACAGCAGACCTCTCCTGACTCGCCCACTGCTTCCCTTAGCAGTGTACTTGGGTCGATCTGCCTGTTCTGTTCCCCACTCTGCCTCTGGTGAATCCTCTCACCCCCCCACATCTCTGGCCTGCACCCCAGCTCTTGTATGCATAAATAAAAAAAAATATTTAAAAAATATATGCTTGTTGTTATTTTATAAACATTCATATTATTTTTTCATCCAGAAGACAAGCTCCTAAAATGTAATAACTAGTGTTATATATCCTGGTGTACCCACAATAGACATACAATCAGGGATATATTTAGTTCACAATAAACACTGTTGACTAGCCAGAGGACCATTCATTTAGGTTAATATTCTATTATCTTATTTTCTTAATCATTTTATCTTTGATGTAAGGTATTTTGAGTACTTATCCCTTGGCCTGAGGGGTAATAATTTTGTCTAATAGCACTGAAATTCCAGATGGAGGAAGTGTAAAGATGTTCCATGCTGTGAATACCATAGAGTGGATGACACATGACTGGATGAATGAACCAACCATCTTTTTGGGTCCAATCTGTAAGATGCTGAAGATTACAAACCTCATATCTGGACATTGCAGAAATGAACAACATCCCAATCTATCTTTATTTAGTGGTAGCTCAGGGGCAAGTGTGAAAATATTATCTTTATGTCATCATAACTATAAGAAATTTTGGGAACAAATTGTGATTATATGCATGTGTTTGTATGTATATATACATGTACATATATACATTAACCAAAGCAAACAAAATCCTATTATTATAGTTCTTAAGACAGAGTCAAGGAAAAGAATAAATGTCATACTGTAGTCATCATCAAACTTGCTTGATACAGAGAAATAAGTACATAGAACTAAAGAAGGGTTTCTTAACATTGGCATTATGATATTTTGGGTTGGATAATTCTTTGTTGTGGGGCTGTTTTCTGCATTATAGGATGTTTAGTAGTATCATCAATCCCTCTGCCTCAGTGAAAAATGTCCCCAAACATTGCCCTGAGGTAGGGGTATAGGGTGGTATAGTGGTAAAATTGTCCTAATTTGAGAGCCACTGAGCTAAAGTGATGTGTTTTCAGGGCTTTGACTATCAACTACACGGCAATGACAGGCAAAACCTATATCCCAGTCTAAGGATTCTCCTCAACTCCTAACCAAAGAACTAATTTTTTGCATGGATAGTGAAATAACGTAATCTTTCAAACCCTCACCTGAGTGGATACCATCATTTATTCAGCTGCCCAAGTTGAGAATTCAATTTTCTTTTACATTATCTCTCAACTCTACAATTAGTACAATGGCTTGTTAATTAAAACTATTCAACAGTTCCCCTGGCTAATGTCCTCTTGGCTAGCCCCCTAGTACTGTCTTAAGTCTGGGATACATAACTACAGTCTTAATTGCACTCTCCTCTAAGCTATCTTCTATAGTGCTGTCAATGTGATATTTGTAAGCCACAAAGCTGATGATCTCCTTTGGGAGATAGTTTGAACGGTGTATGTGCAATTTTTTTTTTTTTTTTTTTAAGAATTTGTGCTTTTCTTTTTTTTTTTTTTTTTTAAAGATTTATTTATTTATTTATACAAGCACTAGGCACAGTCAGAAGCGCGGGAGGGTGAGAGAACTCACCAGAGCCAGAGCAGGGAGCAGAGCAGGCAGAAGGACCGAAGTACACTGCTGAGGGGAAGAGCGGGCGGCAGGAGAGGCCTGCGCGCCATGTGGAACCCCCCTCCGGTGGCCGGGGAGCAGCCGGGGATCGAACTGGCGCTGCAGAGGCTGTGGGCAGCTTCGCAACCCAGCGCTCAACCGCTGCGCCACCGGGGAGGCCCTGTATGTGCAATTTTAAGTAGTGATGGCCCAGTGAAGCAGGATCATAGAAATCTCCCTTTGCCAACACAGAAAGAGAATACTTTAAAATTTTACCAGGGGCAACAAAATAAACAAAGGTGTAAACCTTCATATTGTAAACATTGAAAAGTTGAGCCAAGGAAAGAGAAACTTTTGTAATAGCTAGTAATGAGGCCTCCATTCGTAGGAAGGAGCACTAAGGAATGAAACTGTCCTAAGGAATGAAATTGTCCATTAATATTCCAATCTGGAGAAGAGCAGTCTGAGGAGAATATGTTCTTAGAAAATTTACAAAAATATCCTTTAGACATACCATCAAGGGATTTCAGCACAATCAGGAAGAACTGCCAAGATATACCATATTCGGGCCTCTCCTGGTGGCGCAGGCAGTTGAGCGCCACACTGTGAAGCTGTCCGCAGTCTCTGCAGTGCCGGTTTGATCCCGGCCAGCCGGTGAGGGTCCCACATGGCGCAGCAGACCTCTCCTGCCTCACCCGCTGCTCCCCTCAGTAGTGTATTTCGTCAGTCTGTCTGTTCTGTTCCCCGCTCTGTGTCTGGTGAATCCTCTCACCCTCCCACGCATCTGGCCTGTACCCCAGTTCTTGTATAAACAAATAAATAAATCTTAAAAAAAAAAAAAAAAAAAAAAAAAAAAAAAACCATATTCCCCAGAGCTGTACAGGAGTAAGGGTACAACCTCATGGGAATGAGACATGTATTTTGGATGGTTAGAGCAGGTGCAGGTATAAGACATTTCATAGGTTATCTACCTCTTAGAATAAGCTCAACTTCTCATACGGGCTAACTTAGCACCAGCTTAACTCCCTTTCCCACCTCAGACTATTAAAAAAAAAAAAAAAAAGACTACAAAACAATTAACCAAACATCAAATTGTAGTGTACAAAGAACAAGAAATTAGTTCCAGGTAGAGTGAGACAGGGGATAAGAGAACTCATCTGCTCTATATTAAGACCAAGAAAAGGTATGGATGGAATAACCACCAACATGAAAACAAAGGGAGGGCGGAAGGAAAGAGAACACAAGTTAAATTACTGGGAGACAAAGGGAGATCGAATAAAAAATTGATGACATCAGAGAAGTAAATCTAATTAATGATTTTTTTAAAAAAAGGTACTCAGACGTAAACACAAAAAACCTTCCTGTAATGAGGAATTGTATTTACAGAGTAAAAAGGTACACCAGATTTTAGCTTCTCACCACTCAAAATAAAACCTCACTAATCACAACCACTAAAACATAGTCTCTTATCCCGTCTCACTCTGCCTCACATTGCAACCACTACTAACATAAAGTAACTGATAGTGATACATTTACTACAGTTATTAAACTTCTAAGATAAAGAATTTTTCAGGTTTCCAAGCAGAAAAAGCAAGTCATCTACAAAAGGGAAAAGAAAGATCAGACTGGCCTCAAACATCTTTACATACACATTCAAATATATCCAAAAATCGTGTTGGGATTTCTACAAAAACATAAAGACTGTGTGACCAAGGGAAAATTATTCTGAGCTACTATATCATTCAAGCATAAAGACAACAAGCAGACACTATTAATAATGAAAAGAATTTAGAGAATATGATTGAGTGAACTATTAGTAACTGGAATAAATCTGATGCTGACATACAGTCAACCAAAAAACAAACAAAAATATATTAAGAGTTGTGACTGAAGTGCCAATTGTGAGTAGTGTATCTATTTAAATATGAATCCAGAACACAATGTAAATATGATGAAACTGAAACAAGAAAAATACACAGGGAAAAATAAACTAGAAAGTGGAATAAAAGATAAGGATGCTAATTATCTAATTTTCATAGCAGAAATTAAATTGATGCCACATGAAATGAAATGTGTACTTTTAAAAAAGACTTCAGCTGCTTACTGAGCTTTTATAATTTTTAAAAATTTTAAACTTCAGAGTGATACTTTGGGAAATATGAGAATACCAGAATTTTTTTTTTTAAATTTTTGTGGAGAAAACTGGGGTATAGGCCAGAGGTGCAGGATGTGAGAGGATTCACCAGAGACAGAGTGGGGAGCAGAACAGGCGGATCTACTGAAATACACTGCTAAGGGGAGCAGAGGGGAGACAGGAGAGGTCTGCTGTGCCATGTGGGTTAGTTCCTGGCCGGAGATCGAACTTAGGCCATAGCACTGATAGACTTAACCCCTAGGCCACTAGGGAGGCCCACAGAAGTTTAATTTAATAATTCCTTCAGATTTGTCTTCTTTAAATTTCAAATAAAATTAGCTTCATTTATATAATGCATTCAAGTCCATTCCTTCTCCTCATTTACTCATCTGCCAACCACCCACCAGTCCATGATGCATAAAAATGTATGGAATGATGCCTATACAAAATATGGAAGTGCAATGTAGGGTGATTTGTTTTTTTGTCTTTTGTATGCATTCCACATGTTTATAAAAACAGCAGAATCAATACTATACAGGCATCTTGTAAGTTTGCAAATACCAACATGGAGCACAGAAGCCAACACAGTCATTTGAAAATGCAACTTCTGTCTGGGCATTTATAATGATGGGCCTATACCTATTAACTTTTATTCATCTCCAAAAACTTCTATTTCAAATATGCTTAGGATAATTCTCTAAAGTAACACTCAAAGATCTAAAAGGACAGAAAAATGTGTGACTGGAGTGATAGCTCAAATATGTTAGTTGACCATTTAACTTTATATATACCTTTCCCCTTAAGCAAATAAAAAAAGGATGGACAGTCTCTTCAAATTGTCAAAAACATCTTCCCCTTGGGAGATATATGCTGGGCAAACAGTTACAGTTATAGAAAAGAAAGCAAGTAGACATTCTAAATTAGTGTTTGCCTGCATTTTAAGTGACAGAAACATGCATAAACCATTTCATTTACTCACCTTTGTGATAGTTTTTAGGATAGCAAGACGAGCTGCTGGGGATGGCAAACCCACAAAGAGTGTTTTGTCCAAGCGACCTGGACGCAGGATTGCAGGGTCAATGATATCTAGAGAAGGGAGGAAGAAGTCTTTTAAATAAATAAAAGAGAATTTTTTTTTTTTTACAGATTTATTTATGTATACAAGAACTGGGGTATAGGCCAGAGGCGCGGGAGGTGAGAAGATTCACCAGAGACAGAGTGGGGAACAGAACAGGCATATCTACTGAAATACACTGCTGAGGGGAGCAGCGGGTGAGACAGGAGAGGTCTGCTGTGCCATGTGGTTGCCTGGGGATTGAACTTGTGCTGCGTGGCTGGTGATAGCTTGGTAGCGCTGTCTTTAACCCCTGCGCCACCAGGGAGGCCCATGTTACATAATTTTTTTTTTTTGTGGGACCCTCACCGGTGGCCGGGGATTGAATCGGTGCTGCAGAGGCTGCAGGCAGCCTTGCAACCCAGCACTCAACCGCTGCACCACCAGGGGAGGCCCCCATGTTATTTAATTTTTAACTGCTGTCTCCTTGCGTGTGGATTTTTCTTTTTCATGCTATTCACTTACTAGATCTACAACCACAGAGACAAGTTTGTAAACTTATGAAGCTATGCATCCTTGGGCAAATAATTTATCCTCAGAAACTTTCAATTTTGCAAGTAAGATGTACATACAGTTTTTTAAAAAAATATATTTATTTATTTTTAAATACAAGAACCAGGGTACAGCCCAGATTCGTGGGAGGGTGAGAGGATTCACCAGAGACAGAGCGGGGAACAGAACAGGCAGATTGACAAAATACACTGTTGAGGGGAGCAGAGGGCGAGAAAGGAGAGGTCTGCCGCGCCATGTGGGACCCTCTGGGCCGGCTGGGATCAAACCGGCGCTGCAGAGGCTGCAGAGAGCTCCACAGAGAGCGGCGCTCAACCGCCTGCACCACCAGGAGAGGCCCCACATATAATTTTTAAAGAAAGAGCCAAACTGTTATGGGAGTGGCTGTACCATTTTGCACTCCTACCAGCAATGAGAGCTCCTGTTGTTCCACATTCTTGCCAGCACTTACTGCTGTGCTTTGGCTTTGAGTCATTTCAATAGGTGTACAGAAGCATCACTTTATGAAAATTTGCACTTTCCTAGTGACATAAGGTATTGAGCATCTTTTCATACGCTTATTTATCATCCGTGTATCTTCTCTGGTGAGGTGTCTGTTTAGCTCTTTAGCCCATCTCTGTTTTCTCACTGATGAGTTTTAAGAGTTCTTAGTATGTTTTCAATACCAGTCATAGTCAATTTAGGCTTCTACAATGAAGTATCACAGACTGAGTGACATAAAACTACAGTAATTTTGTTCCTTAAGTTCTGGAATCTAAACGCCCAGGATCAGGAAGTGAGCATTGTAGCATTCTGGTGAGGCAAGACTGCCTGATTGCAGACTGTGCCCATCTCTTTGTTAAATGCTCACATGGGAGAAAGAAAGCAAACAAGCTCTTTAAAGTCCATTTTATAAGGGCACAGATTCCACTCATGTGGGTCCAGCCTCCTGACCTAATTACCTCCCAAAGGATCTACCTCCTAATACTGTCATATTCAGAGTTAGAATTTCAATGTAAGAATTTGGGTAAGGGGGAACAGACACAAACATTCAGTCCTTACTGTGGACTAAAAACCTCGTGCACCTCTCCATCACTGTTCCCTGCCACCCATTTCATTCTAGACTCACTGATTTCTTTCTGGTTATGCAACACGCAAACTTGTTCTTACCTCTGCACTTTTACACTTACTGTTATCTCTCTACCTGGAATGTTCTCCCTGATTTTTACATGTCTGATCATTTATCTCATTTAGGTACATGCTTACATGCCTTTTCTTCTGAAGTCTCCAGGACCAGAAATGTACATTAGCATTCCTCCCCCCAACCGTATTAGTCTCCACCCTCTTACCCTGTTTTACTTTACTTATTTGTCTATTATTTGCCCCATTACCTAGCCCCAAATCAGAATATATGGAGGCAAAAAAGTTTTCTCAACTCTCAACCTTTGAATTCCCAAAACTCAGCAGGAACAGGCATATAATACAACCACACTAAATGTATGATGAATAAAGGAGTAAGTCATCTCAGAGATTAAAGAAAATTATATTGCTATGACTCATATACAACTCCAAATACTAAGGTAAATATACAACTTGCATAAGAGAACAAAGAATGTGATGAATGAAAAATATTGAGTGTATGCGTTTGCTGCCTGTCTCCTTGCTTGTCTGACTTGCAATAAACCTTTCTCTACTTAGAAAGAAAAAAATAATCAAGGGCCTCACTGGTGGCTCAAGGGGTTAAGCCACAGCACTATGAAGCTGTCCGCAGCCTCTACAGCATGAGTTCTATCCCCTAGCTGGCCAGGGAGCCACCCATATGGCGCAGCAGACCTCTCCTCACTCGCCCGCTGCTCCTCTCAGCAGTGTACTTTGGTCAACCTGCCTGTTCTGTTCCCCACTCTGTCTCTGGTGAATCCTCTCACCCTCACATCTCTGGCCAGTACCCTAGTTCTTGTATGCATAAATAAATCTTAAAAAAAAAAAAAAAATGAAACCAAAAAACACCCACAGTTTTTATACTCTGACTTCCTCTTCTTTTGAATCCAGGCCTTCCTCACTGCCCTGACCACTGCAGTTTGCCTATTCTGGTGGGCCCTACCTGTAATAGGAAAGATAGCTTCCACCTTCATCTCTTGAAATATAGCTATCACATAAGAAGAATAAGCACTCAGAAGACAAGGCAAATGAAAGTCCGAGTCATATAAAGAGGTCTTGGAAGATAATTATGGGAGGGCTGGGCGTGGAGGGATGGAGACAGACACCATGAAGCACCAATGACCAGACACGTGAGCAAAGAAATCACCTTGGAAGTGGATCCTCTGGCCCAGCCATTCCAGCTGATGGTGTTGCGGATAAGAGATGAACCACCCATACAAACCTTTCTTGCATTCCTGACCCGAAAAATTGTGAGCAAAGCAAAAATGATGATCTTAAGCCATTAAATAATGTAGTTGTTTGTTATGCAACAACAGCTAACCAGAATATGAGGCAAGAAGGAGTTGTTAATGTAGAAGTAACTTGTATAAATAAACTGTATAAACAATTTATAAATAATCAAAGCAGGGCCTCCCTGGTGGTGCAAGGGGTTAAGACGCAACCTATGAAGCTGTCTGCAGCCACTGCAGCACGAGTTTGATCCCCGGCCGGGTGGCTGCCCACATGGCGCACAGACCTCTCTTGACTAGCCCGCTGCTCCCCTCAGCAGTGTGTTTCGGTCTCTCTGCCTGTTCTGTTCCCCACTCTGTCTCTGGTGAGTCTTCTCACCCCCCACACATCTGGCCTGTACCCCAGCTCTTGTATGCATAAATAAATAAATCTTAAAAAAAAAAAATTAATACAGGCAAACAAATCGATGAGGCTTGCTATGGAAGAAAAAGGGATGTCTGAGATGCCTGGAGAAGACAACACTCCAGTATAAGGGGAAGGACAAAGCACAGCACATGCGATGACTCATCTGTCATTCTTATCACAGGCTAAACTCAACACAGAATATCATGTTCAGTTCTAGTTCCAGTTTCACAATGAAGAATCTGGACAATCTGTAACAAACCCAAAGATGAATCAAGAGATTGGGGGGGAAAATACCCTAGGGAAGGTCATGTACCTAGACTGTTCTGAAGGAGAGGATTTAACCAAGTGAAACTGAAGGACCAACTGTTTCCTAATCTACTTATATTAAACTAAAAGACAACAGTGCTTACAATAAATAAACATGAAAAAAAGGTAAGTGCTGGATAAAGATAAAAATATGATAGACTTTCAAGGTTTCTTTAGGAGGACTCTTAACACCTAATAACTGCTCCACTGCTACTAGAGGTAACAGCTGCAAGTGCTCAGCACAATGACAATAATCACTGAACATCTACTTGCCAAATGCATGTGATACACACATTCCCAAAATCACTTATTAATCTTTCTAACAATGCAGTCAATTAAGTATTATTATCCTCATTTTATACATGAAGAAATGATGGTCAGCAAGATGAAGTAATACATGATTAAAGTTAATTGGTGTATAAGAAATCATACATTTGGTCCTTACCCTGGCTCCTGATATAAAGCTATAAAAATTCTTGGAATTTCCTGAGTGAAAGGAGTGTCTTTTTATTTTACTGAGATGACACAGTGGGCCCAAAGATGCTTCAGGATTGGGCAGGTCACCAGAACCAACGATGTAATTAGAGGGTTAGACCTCTGGGTAGGGAAGTGTGATGGAGGTGGGCTGGAGAGCAAGCTCAATCACATGGCCAATGATTTAACCAATCACTGCTCCATAATGAGACCTCAATAAACACTTTGGACAACAAAACTCAAGTGAATTTCCTGGTTGATAAATACACTGATGTCTAGGGGGTGAGGTGTGTGGGTTGATGAAGGTGAGTGAGGAGGCTGACCCCAATGGGAGAGAGCATGGACATACTCACTCTGTAACCTAGTCAGATGTATACCTTTATAATAACAAGTGTAGTGCTTCAATAGGAGGAAGTGAGGAGCAACTGCTGAGCCAGCGGCTGGCACTAACAGCCAACTTAATCGTATAAGGTAGAGTTACCTGGGCTCCACCATCTGACCTCCTGAATGATGCTACTGGGAATCAGAGGCAGAGTAGAGCTGCCAGGTTCACCTTAAAAAATGGAACACAGGGGGCCTCCTTGGTGGCACAAGGGGTTAAGCACAGCACTGTGAAGCTGTCCACAACCTCTGCAGCATGAGATCAATTCCCAGCCTGCCAGGCAGCAACCCACATGCCGCAGAACTCCCCTGTCTCACCCGCTGCTCCCCTCAGCAGCGTATTTCAGTCAGTCTGCCTGCTCTGTTCCCCACTCTGTCCCTGGTGAATCCTCTCACCCCCTACACCTTTGGCCTATACCCCAGTTCTTGTATGCATAAATAAATAAATCTTAAAAAAAAAAAAAAAGGAACACAAGCAGGCCAATTTCTCTGTCTTTTTTTTTTTTTTGGCTTCTATTTGCAACCTGGTCTCTACTCATCTGCAACTATCTGCAGGTAGGACAGGTCCCATCTTGCCATGTGCTGGTGAATAAAAATTATGCTCCTGTCTTTTTTTTTTAAAAGATTTATTTATTTATTTATTCAAGAACTGGGGTACAAACCAGAGGCACAGGAGGGCAAGAGAATTCACCACAGACAGGGTGCCAGAGACAGGCAGAACGACTGAAAACACTGCTGAAGGGAGCAGTGGGCGAGGCAGGATAGGTCTGCCGCGTCATGTGGGTTTCTCCCTGGCTGGCCGGGAATCGAACCCGTGCTGCAGAGGCTGCGGACAGCTTCACAGCGCTGTGCTCAACCTGCTGCACCACCAGGAAGGCCCTCCTTCTGTCTTTCAGCTCTCCCTTTTGTCACTTCCTATATAATTAAATCCTTTTTTTATATTAATTTTTTAAAACTTTTTACATCATTGTTCATTTTTAAACAATATTTGCTTTCCCCCACTCCTCAGATTTAGTCCCCATAGTTTCCTATATAATTAAATCCTTTTGAAACTTTTTTTTTAAATTTCTGTGTGCGTGTGTGTGTGCTTTTGGGTCCTGTCCTATTTTCTTAAGTATGCTGGTAAGGACTCACAAACAGGGTCATTTCCTTTTCCCTTGGGTTTGCCCTGTAACAATATAGGTGTTCTAATAACTCATGGGGTCCTCACAGGAATCCCCAAATTTCTATCAGGCTGATCAGCAGTATGGGTGTCCTGGAGATACTATTTGAGGCTGACATCTGATGTGAGGGTAATCTAAGGACTCTGACCCTTTAGTTTTTGGTATCTGACACTAGTTCCAAGTGTCGAGTGTCTGAATTGAACTATAACAGATCCAGTTTGTATAATTCAGTTGGGGCTGCAACGAAAGAGTTACTAAGATTTGAAGTGCACCAGCCAAGGTCAAACCCAATTCTGCCTGATTCCAAAAATAGTATTTCATTATTGCTTAAGTATAAACTGTAACAACTTTCAACATTTCATTTTAAAATACAGTAGTATATAATCCATGAAGATTTTAGTTTCCACAGTAACTTACAAGAAATGAAAATGAGTCTCACTACTGATAAACCCACTTAATTCAAAGTACATCTCACTGCTAGTAGACATCACTAACACAAATATCACTGTAGAAGCAGCTATGATAAGAGCGGTTGATCTAGATAGCAAAGTATTAAATATAAAAAGAATTTTGGATCCAAAGTAAAAGCCACCTTTACCACTCACGTAGTTTTAAAACATTTTTGAAACTTCTCACAAAACGTTGCAAACAGCTTAGTGCTGGCATAGGAATATGGTTCCAGTATAAAACTTTAAAACCTATCTTCAACCTACAGTGAAAAATCTCTTTGTTTCCTCAAGGAAACAAAGGACATAAGTTCTGATAGTACATGTATAGTCAAAATTATAGATTACAAATGTTCTTTGCAAACAAGACATCTTTCTAAGCACCAATGCAGAAAGAAAAAAAAAAAAATCTCATGGAAGTCAGGCAATAATACTACCATTTTAAATGATATCTTACAGAAAAGGCTTTATTTATCTAAGGCTTTATTTCAACTTATGAACCAAAAGAAGATTTCCCAAAATCAATCTTTTATTGGGTTCTACATAAATTATACTGTTCTTAAATGCTGAGTTACCAGATTTATCTGCTTTATAATCTTTCTTACCTGGCCTGTTAGTAGCAGCCATAATAAAAACCTGCTGACGTGTTTCCAGACCATCCATCTCTGTAAGCAGCTGATTTACCACCCGGACACTTGCCCCTGTCTAAAAAGATACAAATATAGTTCCATCAGCTTCAAATTAAAAAAAAAAAAAAATCAACTGTCCCCCACAAAATAATGTATTGCTACTTGAATAATGCTTCTGTCATTAAGATATAACAAATATCATTTTCTGAGGAGTCACTAAATTCAACTATTGTGTAAATTACATTCGCATCAGCATGCTTCCCCAGCAATACTACTATTATTTAGATTGAGAAACAGATTTAGATTATTTGTTCAACATCTCACAGATATAGAGTAGAGTTGAAATTCAACCTCAGGCCTAGCTGATCCAAAATCTTATGCCTCTGAGATATCCAAATCTCTAGTGAGCACAATGAACTTCCCTTTGGACAAATCTACACTCAACTTTTGAATGCCAGATTAGATCTCCAAGATATCAAATGTTCCAGATCTTTCAGTTAAGGCTTTTTCGTTATCCCTTAAAGCACAGAGTACAAAACAGGGCTACCTCAGGTCAACATCTAAGAGAAAGGTTCAGGGAGTTAGCATATAAAACGCTGAATCAGGGCCTCCTCTGGTGGCACAGCGGGTGAGTGCTGGGCTGCAAAGCTGCCCACAGCCTCTGCAGTGCTGGTTTGGCTGGTTTGATCCCCGGCAGCCAGAGAGGGTTCCACATGGCGCGCAGACCTCTCCTGCCGTGCCCGCTGCTCCCCTCAGCAGTGTATTTTGTCAGTCTGCCTGTTCTGTTCCTGCTCTGGCTCTGGTGAATTCTCTCACCCTCCCATGCTTCTGACTGTACCCAGTGCTTGTATAAATAAATAAATCTTTAAAAAAAAAATTTCTGTATCTAAGTGATTCAGCATTTAAAAAAAAAGATTTATTTATTTATTTATACAAGCACTGGTTACAGTCAAAAGCGTGGGAGGGTGAGAGAATTCACCAGAGCCAGAACAGGGAACAGAACAGGCAGACTGACGAAATACACTGCTGAGGGGCGCAGCAGGCAAGCCAGGAGAGGTCTGCCGTGCCATGTGGGTATCTCTGCAGCCAGAGGGGATCAAACTGGCACTTCAGAGGCTGTGGATAGCTTCATAGCACTGCGTTCATCAGCCTACGCCACCAGGGAGGCCCAGTAAATAAATAAATCTTAAAAAAAAAAAAAAAATCAAGGACACAGCAGAAAGGAGCAGGTAGAACTATAAACTGTATATGGGGCATGGAAGGGAGGGCACATGCATTTCAGAGCCTCTCTGTTGTTATTAACTCAAGGGTACACACCACATAGACTTTCAAATCCAGGTGCTACACTACAGAAAGGAGTGGGGAATGTGTAGCTCTTTTGTAGAATCTGAAAATAGTAGAAAATGGAACTTGAGGAAGACTACTCAAGCATTTCATTCAAAAGAGAAAATAAATTTGGAAGGAGTAGACATAAAGAGGGCAATTTCAAGAGATCCTTCAAAAAAATAGTCGGGATTCAAATACTTACTAGCCAGTAGAAAAGTGAGAGGCCATAGTGGCTTCAAGATTATGAAAATCAGTAATGGACTTTGGGAGTTACCTTAGGTTAAAGTAGGAGGAATGTTTGAGTTTAGCATTTCAATCTGTTTAAGCTCAGTTATTAGGTGGGTTTTGGATAAATAAAAACAATTCAGGAATTACTGGTGCATTTGAAGTCAAAAGAATGACAGTCCTGTCAAGTAGGATAGCAGAGGGCTTGGTGAATATTTACACTTGTAAGTGGTGAATAAAACATCCTATTCACTGCACTCTCTCTCCAAATATTACGCCTTTCAATATTTTCCTAAATATTATTCATATTTTCATGGCTTTGGATGAAGGGGGTGGAAAAGTTATTTACAATATTTATTTGCTTTTTTTCATTGTAAATACAAAAAAAATAGTAAGAAAAAAAATCACAAAATCACAAAGTTGCCATTGAAAATTCAAATTCATTTGGTTTCATTCTTTTGTCATATTTCAGGTAAAAGAAACATCCTGGTTTCAATAAATTAAGGAAATATATATATACAATAGAAAATATATAGCATATGTTTCTGATATAATACTTTAATTTTATAAGTAAGTAACAGTCCACGCACAACATATTTTTGTATGTGATTGGCTGTAATTTCTCTAACTTTCTGAGCTGGTCAATCAACTGAGAAAGTAAAGTAGTTCAATTAATTGAAAGCAATGCCTGAAATATTTCATTTATGCCTTTCCAAATTTATTTTCCCAGTTCATTTTATTTAAAATACAACTAAAGCCCACCAAAGAATTACCATGTACCTTCGAGTAGATATTTATTATTTAGCTATCTGGCTCCCCCTGGCTCCCTTATGAGGGAGGAGAATAAATGCCTTATGGAGAAATGACATTTAAAAAAAAGAAAAAAAAAACTTAAGTATAGACATGATAATGAGCTTAACACTGATTTCTCCAGAAATAAAAATCTGGTGCACCTTATTATACCTGACAATTAGGAGATTAACAGAATCATAATCCAGACCAAAAAAAGTACTGGATATAAGCAAACAAAAATTATCCTATTTAAGCAAGGCAAAAATCTCAGAATCAATATAGGAAAAGGTTGATAGATTTTACTATATTAAATAACACCTTACACTAAAAAATAGAGGATAAATGCTAACACTGGGGGAAACAGCATCAACACACGAAAGTAGACAGTGAACTAATTTCCATTATGCATAAAAGGCTCTAATAAATCAATAGAAAAAAATACTTCAATAACAAAAGGGATAAGCATATGATAAAATACAAATTCACTGAAGATGATCAATCTCACTGAATGTTGGAACATGAACACTAAAATTTACCATCACAGTCTGCAAATATAATTGACAAAAATAAACATAGGCTTTATACATTATTGATGAAACTGTTAAGAAATTATTATTTTTTAAAAAGATTTATTTATTTATGCATACAAGAACTGGGGTGCAAGCCAGAGGTACAGGGGGAGGGGGGTTAAGAGGATTCACCAGGGACAGAGTGGGGAAGAAAACAGGCAGACTGACTGAAATACACTGCTGAGGGGAGCAGCAGGCAAGACAGGAGAGGTCTGCTGCGCCATGTGGGTGCTCCCTGGCCAGCCGGGGATTGAACTTGTGCTGCAGTGGCTGCGGATTGCTTCATAATGCTGCTGTGCTTTGCACCACCAGGGAGGCCCAAGAAATTATTTCTATATTCTGTTGGTGAGCATATATACCTGGCAGTTTTTGTGAGGGAAGATTTAGTATTAGCTTTCAAATGATATTATGTAGAATAGTTTGTAAAATTGCACTTCCAAAACTCTCACATACTTCCACATATGCACAAAGATAAGAAAGTTTACAACAGTAGTTTGAAGAAGAAACAAGTGGAAACAATCTAAATATTCAAACCTAGGGAGTTACTACATAAATTCTTCTGTATCCAGATGGTACACTGTATGTAACAGCTATAATAATAAAATCATTATGTTTCATGAGAATATTGTCAAAATAGAATGACCACATATTAAAAGTTAAAAAAATCATACAAGTTTTTAAGTTTAAGAAATAAGTTCCAAGAATGACAAGTACTAAACACAAAACTTAGCAATAGTAATTTCCAAGATTAGGGAAGAGAATGAACAAGACTCACTCTCTTTATACCTGTATTTATTTGGATTGTGCATAAGCATGTATTGATGCAGAATTTCTATAACAAAGGAGTATACACTCAAATTTTCAGAATCCCCTTCAGGTGAACATATTACAAAGGAAAACATCAAAATACAGAAATGCGTGGTAGTAGACAGGCAAGAGAGAACACCAGTAGAAATGTAGTTCACATGGGTACACACTTCTCTAAGAAGTGGTTAACTACCTCAACAAACCCCTTGAAACTGAAATTTCCAGTTGATAATAGCAGCATTAATAAAAGGGACTACTGACAAATGAAGGGTTTAATCACAGCAAAAGAAAAGGGAACAGAATGGAGCAAAATGCCATTTGTGCCCACCCAGGGATTGGTGGGAGGAGGAAGGGTAAAATCCAGAGCATACCATGCCCCAAGCAACTGGATACAAAGGGTAGATTTAGGGGCCTCCCTGGGGGCACAAGGGGTTAAGCATAGCACTATAAGGCTATAGGCAGCCACTGCAGCACAAGTTCGATCCCTAGACGGCCAGGGAGCTACCCAAATGGCGCAGCAGACCTCTCCTGTCTTGCTTGCTGCTCCCCTCAGCAGTGTGTTTCGGTCGATCTGCCTGTTCTGTTCTCCACTCTGTCTCTGGTGAATCCTCTCACCCCCCCCCCCACCTCTGGCCTATACACACCAGTTCTTATATGCATAAATAAATAAATCTTTAAAAAATAAAGTGTAGATTTACTCTGGGCTCCACATGAGAGATTGAAATATGATAGGCAGGAGAACCTGGCAATGATCTCTGCCCTGGCCACTGACACCACTATCAGAAAAAAGACAAATAGGAACTATATAGGGTGATATTTTATGAAGTGATTTCTACTGGACATAGAAACAAAACTGCTATATGTATCACATTAATGAACTTTTGTTTTTGCAACTTTTGGATGTTATGGGAGAGTTTAGGCAAAATGAGGCATTTAAATAAGATGTTTCAAGGTCTAAGAACAAACAGAGTAACCATTTGAAAATAAACAACAAAAGACTTTGAGGTTTCAGAAATAGAGCCACTTCCTCAGTCATATTATAATAAATGTAATTAGTCTTTGGTATGTTCTTCAAAGCTTTCTATATTCTTTATATATATTGTGCTACACTATGTTTCTAACTCTTATATAACAGTGCTCTTAATGATAAATGCTTTCTGCACACTCACTATACTGAGATTTCTAAAATCTATGATTCCGTGTAGTGATATAAGAGGTATTCAATGCAGACCAACTTTATATCTCCCTCAGACAGTGATGGTGTCAAGCCTCAAAGCCTATTACTTAACCCTATTTAGAGTACATGATGTCTTAAATTACATTTATCCTGTCTCAAGGACCTATTTAACTGAAGAGGATCTTAAGATGGTAAGTCAGGCTATTCAAAATTGTTATCATTTCCAATCCCAACTACTTACTTGTATGAATCAGCTATGTACAAACAAAATAATATTCAGAGAAAAAATGGATCTAGAGAATAAAAATATAACTGGTACCCTAAGCCCCAATTTCAAATTCCTAGGTTTCTTCATCTAAGAGTCTCAGTGTTCTGGAAGAACGACTTTTTTAAGAAGTACCTAAGTTGGAAATCACAAAAATCTGTATGGTGCTCAAAAAAAAAAATCTATACATGACTAATCTATGATACCTACCTCCCGGTCTGATCTTCGAGGGCATAAGGCATCCACTTCATCAAAGAATATGACACAGGGTGCTGAGTTCTTGGCTCTTTGGAAAACCTGTCGCACAGCACGTTCACTCTCGCCAACATACTAAATAAATACAGAAAGGAAATAAATAGGGACAGTTCAATTTTGGGGTTTGGGCCAAATGATAGTGAAGTAAGTTTTAAATGACACTTGTGTGCCAGAGCCCAGAAAGTGTTAGGTTGAACTAAATGCAACCGCTGATATTTAACCATTTTTGACCTGTTATTATAGCTAATTATATGTGGTTCAACTTAATAAAATGATCTCTTTATTTAAAGATATAAATTTCCTCATTTATAAAATGAAGACTAAATGGAATGCAACGTCTTCTCTAGATTAAAAAAAAAAACCAAACCCATAATTCTACCATATTTTAGAACAGATGCCTAACCTTTATGTATTTAAAATATCCAGCCGTACTTTTCATTATTTCAACTGTATTTTAAATGCACACAAGACAATTTACTGTTTGACTATCATTTCTACACAAGTCATCAAGCTTAAAAAGGAGCTATTCTGTCATACAGAGTCAAAGGAAGCAAACTGAGCCAGTTAGGCATCTGACAGATTTCATAGTGGCATACTGTACATTAAAATCTATTCAAAATATACACACAAAAAATCAGGCAATTCACCAGCAGCCATAACATCAGGACTAATTAATATGAGAAGTTATAAGTAAGAACATGCTTTTTGGGCCTCCCCAGTGGCGCAGCAGGTTGAGCGCAGCGCGGTAAAGCTGTCCATAGCCTCTGCAGTGCAGGTTCAATTCCCAGCCGGCCAGGGAGATACCCACATGTGGCGGCAGACCTCTCCTGTCTCGCCTGCTGCTCCCCTCAGCAGAGCTTTATGTCTGTCTGCCTGTTCTGCTCCCCACTCTGTCTCTGGTGAATTCTCCTACCCTCCCACGCCTCTGGCTTGTACACCAGCTCTCATATAAATAAATAAATAAATAAATAAATAAATAATTAACTTTAAAAAGAACATGCTTTTTTGCTTTTGGTTAGGCATAAGAAAGTGTTCTCATAAAATTTCAAACTAGTGGACTAAGAGAAGCAGCTTTTGTTTTTTTTTAAAAGATTTATTTATTTCTATGTATACAAGAACTGGGGTACAGTCCAGAGGTGCAGGGGGGTGAGAGGATTCACCAGAGAGAGTGAGGAACAGAACAGGCAGACTGACTGAAACATACTGCTGAGCAGCATGCGAGCCAGGAGAGGTCTGCTGCATCATGTGGGTTGCTCTCTGGCTGGCTGGGGATTGAACTCATGCTGCAGAGGCTTCGGATTACTTCACAGTGCTGCACTTAACCCCTTGCACCACCAGGGAGGCCCCAAGAAGCAGTTTTTTAGCAATAAAACCACTGAATAAGAATCTGAAAACAGGGCCGCCCTGGTGGCACAGTGGTTGAGCGCTGGGTTGCAAAGCTGCCCACAGCCTCTGCAGCGCTGGTTCAATCCCCGGCTGCTCCCTGGCCACTGGAGGAGGGTCCCACATGGCGCTCAGACCTCTCCTGCTGCCCACTGCTCCCCTCAGCAGTGTACTTCGGTCCTTCTGCCTGCTCTGCTCCCCGCTCTGGCTCTGGTGAATTCTCTCACCCTCCCAAGCTTCTGACTGTACCCAGTGCTTGTATAAATGAATAAATAAAAATAAATCTTAAAAAAAAAAAAAGAATCTGAAAACAGGGCCTCCCCTGGTGGTGCAGGCGGTTGAGCACAGCGCTGTGAAGCTGTCCGCAGCCTCTGCAGTGCCAGTTCGATCCCGGCCAGCCGGTGAGAATCCCACATGGTGAACAGATCTCTCCTGTGTCGTCCACTGCTCCCCTCAGCAGTGTATTTTGTCAGTCTGCCTGTGCTGTTCCCCGCTCTGTCTCTGGTGAATCCTCTCACCCTCCCGCACATCTGGCCTGTGCCCCGGTTCTTGTATGAATAAATAAATAAAAAGAAAAAAAGAAAAGAATCTAAAAACACCTTTCCATAGTGCCAACTATATCATAAAGTGTTTTTTTAGGTTAGCTTATGACTACATGGCCATAAAATTAATTAAGGCCTGACTACATCACAGATAACAGTGATTAAAATGTCTTATTTTTTTCATTTGGTAGAATTTTCTTTCCCTGGCATCTGCAATTTTCTTTATACTTTTGACCAGTCTGCTTCCCTTACTTCAACTGATTTTCACAGGAGAACCTCCAAACAATTCTTGAGTTCTAAAAGATTCCCATTCCCATGCATCTTTCTCATCATTACTGTCTCTTTTTTGCTATTATAGCACTTTCCATTGTTAAACATTTGAGTCAGTCTACTTTCACTATATTATCTCATAATGTCCTTGGAAAGCAGAAGTCATGACCATTTAAAATTTTCTTCTGATCATAACATCCTGCATAGGGTACATATATAGGTCAATTTAGTTTCCTGAAAAATCTAAGTCGCAAAAATTATGTTTGGAATGTTGAACCAAATTACGCAGTAGAGGGCCTTCCTGGTGGCCTAGGGGTTAAGTCTCAATGCTATCACCACTACAGCCTGAGTTTGATTCCAGGCCAGGGAGCCAACCCACATGTGGTGTAGCAGACCTCTCCTGTCTCGGCTGCTGCTCTCCTTACAGTGTTTTTCCGTAGATCCACCTGTTCTGCTCCCCACCCTGTCACTAGAGAATTCTCCCACCCCCTGCACCTCTGGCCTGCACCTCAGTTCTTCTACGCAAAAATGAAAATAAAAAGAACTGTTAAAACTCAATAGTAAGAAAGCAACCCAATTTAAAAAAATTAAAAAACAATTTTCTCAAACAAGTATGCAGTAGATATTTTTAAAAAGCATGCAGAAGATATTTTAAAAGAAATGAAATCTGGGGTGGGAGAGAGATGAGATGGAAGAGAACAAACCATATAGTTTGATTTTACCAAAATATCACAACTTGTGGGCATTTTACCCTAAAATTTTAATGACTACTACTTTTCCTTATCTAAAATAATGGATAAAACCATAACAACTTACCATATTTAGTAATTCAGGGCCCTTGACAGATATAAAATTTAGCCCAGACTCATTTGCAACAGCCTAGTAAGAGGAAATACAAGAACGCAAATAAGAAGAGTACACAATGATAATAACAACAAAAATTTATGACAATGCAAGGGCTTTTTGTGGGTTATACCCTATCTCCCCGTTTTTATAGTTGCCTATTTCTTATTAGAAGAGACAAATGGAAAAAGAGAACATGGGTAAAAGGAAAAGGTAAAGAACATTATTGATACTCTTTAACACTTTCTAAAAATTACTAAGACAGATAAGAAATCAGATGGAAATGACACAAAGTACTTACGCAAACATTGTTTATGCAAAGATGCTTTATGTAAACAAATATGGATCCCCACTTGGAATTCCAGTGAAATCATGATCTCTGTATCAAGAAAGCATTGCTCTGCCCAATGAACACAATCATTCATCCATTTGTAAACCAAAACCCAAAAACATAAGCATCAGTCTACATCAAGGCTCAGTTTTTACAGTTTTTAATAAAGATTAAACTACATGCATCAAAGTCAGAATAAGAAAAGAGAAAAATATAGTTATGTGTATAAGAATCCGAGGATTACAATCTGAATGCAAAGATGAAACCTAAATAAAATCATTTGGAACTTCAAAATTATTTGGAAAATAGTTTCCCACTAGAACCTGGTATCTGAGCTCCACATTTATATTCAATATATTCCTTAGCATTTCCATTTGATTTTACAGGTATAATCTATTATTTCCAAACAGGGATCTTGATTCTCTCAGCTCTCTTCAAATTCTACACCCCAAACTTTTCCCTTCCCATCTCAGGAAGTACAATTCCTAAGCCAAAACCTTCCTATGTCCCTTGATCCTTTGTCTTCTTATGTCATTGATGCATCTGCAAGTACTATTAGTTCTTTTTTTTTAAGATTTATTCATTCATTCATTCATTCATTCATTCATTCATTCATTCATTTATTTATTTATTTATGCAAGCACTGGGTACAGTCAGAAGCGCGGGGAGAGTGAGAGAACTCACCAGAGCTAGAGCGGGGAGCAGAACAGGCAGAAGGACAGAGGCACACTGCTGAGGGGAGCAGGCAGGAGAGGTCTGCACGCCATGCGGGACCCTCTTCCAGGTGGCCGGGAATAGCCAGGGATCAAACCGGCACCGCAAAGGATGTGAGCAGCTCCGCAACCCAGCGTCCAACCACTGTGCCACCAGGGAGGCCCAAGTACTATTAGTTCTAATGCTAGAATATATGTGAGTGTGACATTTCTTCACTATACTATCACTCAGACCTGGACATGCCAAAAAACAAAAACAAAAACACCCAGCCCTAACAAAACAAAAAACCTAACTGGTTTCCTCCTTTCATTTCAGCTCCCCTCCAATCCATTCTCTACACTCAAGTCTTAAAATATACATCAGATAGTATGTATAGGTTTCTCATTTATCTTCAAGGACAACCTGAAATATATACCACAATATATGTCACAGTTTCTCCTTAATGCGGCCACTGGCTCTTTCTCTGGTTCTGTAACACACCAAGTCCTTTCCCACTTCAAGGGTTTTGCAGTTGCTAATCCCTCTATCTGAAAGACTCTTCTTTCAATGTCTTCTTATGTGTCCAGCTAGTCCTTCAGGACTCTTGTTAAAATAGTACCATTCTTTGAACATTAGCTACTTCCAAATCAATCACAAAAATCTGTTATTTCCATCGTGTTAGCTGAATCTACAATTCTATTATTTTACTTGTTTCCTGCCTGCCTTTCTCAGACAATAAATTCCATTCCAGTATCTTATTCTCTAGTTTATCCCAAGCACTCCAAACAATGAATAACAGTAGTTCAATAAATGCTTGAAAAAATGAATGCATGCATGTTCTATCATGCAAAATCTCCTAATAATATGGATTATCCACATTTCTCAACCTTTCTCTTTTCTGCTGCCAATTTTATAGCTTTCCGAACTCTTAGTCAGCAGATGCACAACCAGAAAAATATGACTCATCCACATTACGTTTTCAACACCTGTGTCAGGTAATTAAGATTAACCTCATTAAAACTCATTAGTTTCTGAAATTACTGGAAATTTTCTTAATCTTATAAATGAAAATACAGTGAGCATTTTTTTTCATGAATTATCATGAATCTTGTACTATTTGTTCCATGCTATACGTTAGATGACTGTTTACTCTCTTTTCAGTTTCCTTTTTATTAGAGATCCATGCTCAGTGTGTTTGCTCTAATTATCATAAGCTTTTACTTTATGCTATTTACATACTTACTATGTGTGGTTTTCAGAAAAAAAATTTTTTTACTTTATATCTTTCATGAGGTACCATTATTTTTCTATCCTTGTTAATTTTTTCACAATATAGGATTTCTCCCCTTAGGTGTGGTCACCTTAGTTCTCTCACCACCAAAGCACCCATAATCCTCTACTACAGGGCCTCTACTGGTGGCGCAGGCGGTTAAATGCCCCTCTGTGGAGCTGCCCGCAGCCTCAGCAGCACTGGTTCGATCCCAGCCGGCTGAGAGGGTCCCACATGGCGCAGCAGATCTCTCCTGTCTCGCCCGCTGCTCCCCTCAGCAGTGTATTTCGTCAGTCTGCCTGTTCTGTTCCCCGCTCTGGCTCTGGTGAATTCTCTCACCCTCCCGCGCTTCTGACTATACCCAGTGCTTCTATAAATAAATAAAGAAATCTTAAAAAAAAAAAAAAAATCCTCCACTATAGTGTACTGTCCTCTCCCCTTCCTCATTCCCTACCCTCCTCTTCTCCTCCCACCTCCCTGCCCCCACCAATGCTTCAGATCTATAATCTGCTTTCAAGGGTCATGTATTATATGTATTATGTAATATACTGCCTGGGATCACAGATCCAGTGAGTTGTGAAATCCATCCATGGAGTCCTAGTCCTAGGTAAGAGTCCTACTCCAAATGACCAGTTAACAGAAAAATGACTGGAGAGAGAGCTACCACTCTGCTGGCAAGTAGGAAGGGATGGAGAAGGCAAAGATAAGGAAAATCTGATCTATGATGTTTTGATTATCTAAGGATTTCAAATTCTCCATATTACCTTCTTTCTGCCGGGAATAGGACTAATCCAAGGCAGATATAACTAACTAAAAACAATTATTACAAGGCACCCAGGTGAAGGAACTGCATCTGCCTGGATAATTCACACACTAACATTAGGAATATCTATCTACTTTCTAAAATAGCTGTGAAAAAGTATAGACCAATGACGATGGTGTCTCTCCCTCCTCTGTCCCCAAATTCCCTGTCGTGATGCCTGGTAAAAGTAATGAAAGCATTAAGCAAGAAAATTTAATAACATAAGTAAAAATACTTTTCTTTAAAATTACATATATACTATATATGTAATTATATACACAAATGGCACTATAGTTATTTGATATTTACTTAAGAGTCAAACTAGTGGGCCTCCCTGGTGGCATAGGGGTTAAAGTCTCAGCGCTATCAAGCCATCTCTAGCCCCTGTGACATGAGTTAAATCCCCAGACAGGGAGCTGACCCATATGACGCAGCAGACCTCTCCTGTCTTACCCGCTGCTCCCCTCAGCAGTATATTTCAATAGATCTGCCTGTTCTGCTCCCCACTGTCTATGGTGAATGTGCTCAGCCCCCGCACCTCTGACCTACATCACAGCTCATGTATGCATAAATAAATCTTTTAAAAAAGAAAAGTTATTTGGAAAGACATTCGATAAAATTATCATCTAAGGTGTGAAAATATAAGTATAGGATAGTTTAATGTAGTGTAATGTTATTTTAACAGGGGATCATTTCCACAATTTATAGAACATTTTTATGGCGGAATACTACACAGGTATTAAAAGTTACTAATGTGTACCTATATATAGACATGGGAAGATATTCAAGAAATATTGCTAAGTGAGGAAAAGCATGTCTAAAACCCTTGAATTTGTAGAAATATGCATAATATACATCTTATCTTAATATGTATGTATAGAAAAACATTTAAAAAATATTGACAATGAAATAGTAGTAGGTGAAAGGATTATATTATTAAAAATAATTTTAAAAATAACAAGTGCAAGGAATATAGAGGAAAACATTTAGTTATACATAATAAATACAGCAAAGCATGAAACAAGGTCAGCTACAAACTGTAATTCTGCAATAAAACTAAAAGCTATAATACATAGAAAATATAATTGCTGTGTTAAAATTGATGGGATATGGTTGATTAAAAAATTTTCCCCCAAATTTCCAATGATGTATACTTTATAATTGAAAAAAAAGTGGAACTTTCCTGAAGAAAGTTGTCAGTCTTGCTTAATTGAAATTTTAATAGAAATTACGGCAAAATATTTCACTGTAGCATCTACAATTAAATTCATATTATCTTCCTTGATAGTAAGAAATAAAACACATGAACTGCTACCATACCTTTGCCAGCAGAGTTTTCCCACAGCCAGGAGGACCAGCAAGGAGGACTCCAGCTGGCGTCACCAATCCAAGAGCTTTGAATTGATCTGGGTTACGTACTGGTGCCTGCAAATAACCCAGCAGCAATCCATTACAAAGGTCCATTTCATAGTGCATATTTATATGACTGCCAGAAGCATATTTTCAGCACTGATCATGAGTCCTAAAGATAAAAACAGTATGCACAGAGTACTTATCTCTGTTCAAAACACGAGGAATACTGGGATAAACCAAAAGTGCTTACACTTGATGTTAAGATCTGGAAATGTTTTAAACAAAAATTTCATTTTCAATTCAAGCTTTTTAGCGAACAATCTAAATTTCTAGGTTATAGGAATTTTACACAAAGGCTCCCCTTTTTAAAAAATCAGAAACAGGGCCTCCCCGGTGGCGCAGCGGTTGAGCGCTGGGTTGCGAAGCTGCCCGCGGCCTCTGCGGCGCCAGTTCGATCCCCGGCTGCTCCCCGGCCACCGGAGGAGGATCCCACATGGTGCGCAGACCTCTCCTGCCACCCGCTGCTCCCCTCAGCAGTGTACTTCAGTCCTTCTGCCTGCTCTGCTCCCCACTCTGGCTCTGGTGAATTCTCTCACCCTCCCGCGCTTCTGACTGTACCCAGTGCATGTATAAACAAAACAAACAAACAAATATAATAAATAAATAAATAAAAACATGCCTCTATAAAAAAAAAAAATATAAAAAAAAAAAAATCAGAAACAGCAGTACTCTACATAATCAAAAGGCAAAAAAAGCTGTTTGCTATAATCTCCATATATTTTCTCTTTCAGTAATTACCTCTAAATGAGCCATACTTTCTTTTTTTTTTTTTTAATAGAGGCATGTTTTATTTTATTTTATTTATTTGTTTGGTTTTTTTTTTTTTTTAAATATTTTTTTTTTTTTAAATAGAGGCATGTTTTATTTATTTATTTGTTTGTTTTGTTTATACATGCACTGGGTACAGTCAGAAGCGCGGGAGGGTGAGAGAATTCACCAGAGCCAGAGCGGGGAGCAGAGCAGGCAGAAGGACTGAAGTACACTGCTGAGGGGAGCAGCGGGCGGCAGGAGAGGTCTGCGCGCCATGTGGGATCCTCCTCCAGTGGCCGGGGAGCAGCTGGGGATTGAACCGGCGCCGCAGAGGCTGCGGGCAGCTTCGCAACCCAGCGCTCAACCGCTGCGCCACCGGGGAGGCCCTGTTTGTTTGTTTTTGTTTATACATGCACTGGGTAGTCAGAAGCGCGGGAGGGCGAGAGAATTCACCAGAGCCAGAGCGGGGAGCAGAGCAGGCAGAAGGACCGAAGCACACTGTTGAGGGGAGCAGCGGGCGGCAGGAGAGGTCTGCGCGCCATGTGGGACGCTCCTCCGGTGGCCGGGGAGCAGCCGGGGATCGAACCGGCGCCGCAGAGGCCGCGGGCAGCTTCGCAACCCAGCGCTCAACCGCTGCGCCACCGGGGAGGCCCTAAATGAGCCATACTTTCTTAATGAACCATGCAATGATGTGTAAAGTGAAATCAAACCCAGTTTCATGGTGTTAAAACTGCTCTGACCCTTAAGAATGTTTAAGGGTTTAAAGAGTATTTCTCAATTTCATGTTGAATGAAACCAGAACTTTTTTAAAAACTCATACCAGATAAAATTAAGTATAACCAAATAATTAGTCTAAAAGAGATCTCACAAGAATGAAAAACTGGGGCCTCCCTGGTGGCGCAAGGGCTTAAGTCTCAGCACTATGAAGCTATCGCAGCCACTGCAGCACAAGTTCAATCCCAGCCAGGAAGGTGACCCATATGGTGCAGCAGACCTCTCCTGACTCGCCCACTGCTATCCTCAGCAGCGTGTTTCATTCAATCTGCCTGTTCTGTTCCCCACTCTGTCTCTGGTGAATCCTCTTAACCCCTGTACCTCTGGCCCGCATCCCTGCTCTTATATGCATAAATAAATCTTAAAAAGAAAAAGAAAAACTATTGTTAGGGGCTTAAAAATAATATAACATAAAAGAAAACATACAGTCAAGTCAGTGTAGACATACAACCTAGTATGCATGCACGGTGTTTATCCAGCACATATGCTAATGACATTTAGCATCAAATACACCTACCAATATGGCCATGGTGAGCTCTTCTCGAATATCTTCCAGGGCACCAATATCTTCCCATGTCACATTAGGAACAGTTACAAAGCCCTCCCTTTTGGCAGAGGGTTGGACAGAAGAGAGAGCAACAATGAAATCATTCAATTCAATGCACAGCCCTTGCAGCTGCTCCTCAGAGAGGGGGTCTTGGTTTCTTAGCAACAATAGCAGCCTTTGTAATTCATCCTTGAGGGAGCAATTGAGGGGAAAAAAAGAAAAACCATAAAGTTTCTTGAAAAGGTTACTTTTTGTCCTATTTAAATCATTACTGTAATATTTCTATAAGTTATAAATATTTCTGTACTTTAATAATTTTCTCCATTATCATGTTTATTTTATTCTAAATGGAATTAATTTGGTCAAGGAATGGTGTTCCAACTATAATCAAATATGGATGATTATATACCATACTAGGTCTAGATATACCAAATACAAGCAGCTGGTAACCATACAACAATTATGTATGCATCATTTTTCATTTATAGCTACTCAAGAAGCAGCTGAATTTTGATGAAGTTAAAACCAAGTTACTCTGGTGGCAATACAATTTCATAATATGATTCCTCGATGATTTATCAACTAAGTAGAAAGCAGGCACACTCTTCCTAGAATAACTGAATATTGAACTTCAAAGGCAGACTTCTTGCTTTGTGAAGAAATTGAAAGAAGAGGCATAAAAAAATAAGTAACTGAGTAATCTAATTTACAAAATTCTAATTCATGTGTAATATTTTAAAAGGAACAAGTCTATTATTTTTAATAAATATAACTATAAAATATAATGAGTAAGGAAGAAATAAGCAATATGAAAACAAAGACCTGGATCTAAGTCCTTCTTTCCACTAGAAAATAGAGGTTTATGTGACCTTGTCCAAAGCACGAATTTTTTTGTAGAATTTTTTTTAAAGTTTATTTTATATATTTTTTAACATCTTTTTTCATTTTTGTACAATGTATGCATTTTCTTTTTTTTTTTTTAATAGAGGCATGTTTTTATTTATTTATTTATTTGTTTGTTTGTTTTCCTGTTTATACATGCACTGGGTACAGTCAGAAGCGCGGGAGGGTGAGAGAATTCACCAGAGCCAGAGCGGGGAGCAGAGCAGGCAGAAGGACCGAAGCACACTACTGAGGGGAGCAGCGGGCGGCAGGAGAGGTCTGCGCGCCATGTGGGACCCTCCTCCGGTGGCCGGGAGCAGCCGGGGATTGAACCGGCGCTGCAGAGGCTGCGGGCAGCCTCGCAACCCAGCGCTCAACCGCTGAGCCACCGGGGAGGCCCTAATGTATGCATTTTCATCTTGGTTATCGTCCCCATAAAATTCCCACCACCCCTGTTTTGATCCTACTCCCTTCTCCCTCCTCCTTCCCCCTGGTAGTGTGTGTCTGCTTTATAGCTGCCTGTTTATTCCCAAATATTTGATTTTTTTTGTTTCAATAATACAAGGGATGTTTTTTTTTTTGTTTTCTTCTTCTTCAGATTTATTGTTTGTGTATAGGAAGGCTACTGATTTTTGCGTGTTGATTTTGTATCCTGCCACTTTACTAAACTGATTGATTAGTTGAATTAGTTTTTCCATGGAGTTTTTGGGGTTCTCTATATATATTATCAGATCATCTGCAAATAGCGATAGTTTAACTTCTTCCTTTTCTGTATGTCTTCCTTTTCTTGTATGTCTTTCTTATTTTACTGGCTAGGACTTCCAGAATTATATTGAAAAGCAGTGGTGAGAGTGGACATCCTTGTCTTGTTCCAGATCTTAATGGAAACGCTTTCTGCTTTTCGCCATTGAGAATGATGCTGGCTATGGGCTTGTCATATATGGCCTTTATGATGTTGAGGTATGTTCCTTGTAGCCCAAGAATTTCAAAGACTTTTATCATGAATGGGTATTGTACTTTGTAGAAAGCTTTCTCAGCATCTGTTGATATTATCATATGGTTTTTATATTTCTTTTTGTTGATGTGTTGGATAACACTGATTGATTTTCGGATGTTGAACCATCCTTGTGTCCCTGGAATAAATCCTACTTGGTTGTATACCACATCTTCTTGATCCAATCATCTATTTTAGGGCATTTGGGTTTCCACAGCTTACCTATTGTAAACAGTGCTGCAATAAACATAGGGTTGCAGGTGCCCTTTGGAATTAATGTTTCTATGTCCTTTGGGTAAATACGTAGGAGTGGAATTGCTGGATCATATGGACGCTCCATCTTTAGCAGACTGAGGAATTTCCACACAGCTTTCCATAGTGGTTGGACCAGTTTACACTCCCACCTGCAGTGCAGGAGAGTTCCTTTTTCTCCACATCCTCACCAACATTTGTTGTTGCTAGTTTTTTAAATATGTGCCATTCTCACAGATGTATCTCATTGTAGTTTTGATTTGCATTTCCCTGATTACAAGTGATGCTGAACATTTTTTCATATACCTGTTGGCCACTTGCATTTCTTCTTTGGAGAAGTTTCTTTTTAGCTCTTCTGCCCATTTTTTGACTGGGTTATTTACTTTGTTTTTGTTGAGTCTTGTCAGCTATTTGTAGATTTTTGTGATCAAATCACGATTTCTTAGTTTCTTTGATTATAAAATGGGGAAAGTTTTTATGACAAAGTTATGTGGATCAAATTATGCAATATATAGGGGAAGGCGACTGTATACACTATAAAATGCTACATAAATGTTAAACTGAGTTTTCATGTTTTGCAAGACTCTTGGACTGATAAACATCCCTCTACATACACACGACTGTCCATCCAGAGCTATTTGCAGCTAGGGATATGGTATGGTCAAGTCAAACTAACCTGGCCTGTCCAATGAAAAGGTAAAGAGGAAATATAATAAATGCCCAATATTCTCACAGAAAGTAGCAAACTTTTTCTGTAAAAGGCTAGATGGCCCACAGTGGAGGTTGTGTGGGTCATAAAAATCTCTGCTGTAAGGACTACTCCTATGTGAATTCTATAAAATGCAAAAGCAGAAACAGATAATATGTGAATAAATAAACACAGCTGTGCTCCAATATAACTTTAACTTACGGAAACAGGCAGTGGGTGAATGGGCTATAGTTTGGCAACCCTTGTCCTAGAATGTCACAATCACTCTAAAAATTATTTATTCCGAATGAAAGAGTAAAAAAAAAACGACTTGCACTTTTGAAATTCTAGACATGCTAGTAGTAATTGAGAACTAAAGATAAAATGCGAATAAAACAGAAAATTACAAACCTCAACTATATTGACACCTACAGGTAAGATAACACAAACTATGAACACTTAAAGGAGAGTTTAAGGTACCTGTATAGATAGCACCTGTGTTTTAGTATTGTGATCAGTTCCAATCATTTCTTCCTGGCTTTTTCCAGAAGACAGCCCTTCAGTCTCAGGACCCTTCTTCTCCTGCTCCTGTAGCTTCATTAAGACCCTATTGACTGCACACATGGCTGCCTCCCGGCAGAGTGCCATCAGGTCAGCACCCACAAAGCCTGGCGTTAAGTGTGCTAAGTGACGAAAATGGAAAGTCTCAGGAAGTCTTAGTTTTCTACACAAAGTTTGAAGTATTCTGTAAAAAAGATGAGAGGAAAATTCAGATTCCTAACCTACTAATAAAAACAAGTCTCCAAATATATTTATTTGAAGTTTTTCTTCTCTGCCAGTGCATACAATATAAAATCAAATAGCTGGTCCATTGGATGAATGCTAAATCACTATTACATATCCCACCTTATTCCATATAAAAGATTATGTTAAATATCTGCTTCATTAGAAACTTACTTAAATTTTCAAGAATAAAAAAACAGATCTAAATAATCTGCCTTGAAGAATTTATAATACTAGAGAAGAAATAAATGATTTATGAGGATATAAGTTCCACTTTTAGAGTAATAGAAGCTTCCAAGTTAAAAAAAAGAACAAACAAAACATGATGTCTATTCACGTCAAAAAGTTATGCTGATATACACCTTATAATAATTTAATATTAGGACAGTTCTTTTTTTTTTAATTTTTTTTTTAATAGAGGCATGCTTTATTTATTTATTTGTTTGTTTGTTTATACATGCACTGGGTACAGTCAGAAGCGCGGGAGGGCGAGAGAATTCACCAGAGCCAGAGCGGGGAGCAGAACAGGCAGAAGGACCGAAGTGCACTGCTGAGGGGAGCAGCGGGCGTCAGGAGAGGTCTGCGCGCCCTGTGGGACCCTCCTCCGGTGGCCGGGGAGCAGCCGGGGATCGAACCGGCGCTGCAGAGGAAGCGGGCTGCCTCGCAACCCAGCGCTCAACCGCTGCGCCACCAGGGAGGCCCTATTAGGACAGTTCTTTAACTTCATTTTTCCTACTGCTCATCACCTATTGCACGTGTGAAAAATTCTAGTCAACTCAACTGGCAACATGGTGTCAGAGAAATATGTACAACAAAGTAATTATTATTAAAGGAATATTTAAATAATTTCTGATCACTTATTTGAAGGACTTTAAAGTAGTAAAGATCACCCCAGGACTACAGGTCTGAAACCAGACTGCCACTCTGTATAAACCAGGACCAGGTATTTCACTTCTGTGCTTCAGGTTGCTCATTTGTTAAAAAATACTATATCAGGGCCTCCCCAGTGGCGCAGAGGTTGAGCGCTGGGCTGCGAAGATGCCCGCAGCCTCTGCAGCAGTGGTTCAATCCCCGGCTGCTCCCTGGCCACCGGAGGAGGGTCCCACATGGTACGCAGACCTCTCCTGCCGCCCGCTGCTCCCCTCAGCAGTGTACTTCGGTCCTTCTGCCTGCTCTGCATCCCACTCTGGCTCTGGTGAATTCTCTCACCCTCCCGCGCTTCTGACTGTACCCAGTGCTTATATAAATAAATAAATAAATAAATAAATCTTAAAAAAAAAAAAAAAAAAAACTATATCAGCACTTACTCATAGGTATGTTAAGAGATACACACAAAGCTCTTAGAATAGTAGCTGATCCACAGTAAGTGCCCAATGAATGTTAGCCATTAAATACATATTGTGATATTACACATTAACATAGACAAGGCAAAGTATTTTGAAATTTCCAAATTTGTAGGGGAGACTAATATTTTCAAATGTCAAGCTTATGAACAGAAAAGTGTAAGAACAGAATAAAGCAGATAAATATTACTCATAAATGAAAGACAATTTACTCATATACTCTGAACAGTAACAATCAAAAGGCTCTACTATATAGGTATTTCCAACATATACAGAACCAATTTGCTGCTATGCACAAGAATACTAAGAAATTTAGATTGTTACGAAAAATGGCTAACATATAGTAAGTACCATAGTTTTCAGCTATAGTTTATTCTTGGAAAATACGGATGTTTCTACTTATCGTGCTACAGAAAGTCTTCTTGAGATATTTTTGGTTATTAAGATACTGGTGGATGTTTCTCTGCTCTGTAAACATTCAACCCCAATTATAAGAGAAGTTGGTACTGCAGCAAACACAGACACCTTTCAGACAGCTCTGGCTACCACTTAATTATCTGTCGAGGAATCTGGGGGTGTTAGGTGGCTTTGTAGAACAGCTTAAGTACGATGTTTAGATTTAACCAACATGTGGACAGTGAGCGCTGCTCTATTCCAGAGCTTTAGAAACAGTTCTTAAGCTGATCATCCTAAGACCAGACAAATGACTATGGATACATAAGTTGCTTATCATTATAGAAAAAAAAACAGCCTGAAATAATTGCCCTGTTAATGAGTAAACTGTTTTCTTAAGCACTGCTTTAATGTAGGCTCTTTCTCTTCCAAATCAATTTCACTGGCACAAGAAGAGAGAAAAAAAAAGCTATGTTGTATTTCTAACCCCTTATCTCAAGACATTTAATTCATATGACACAGTAGCATGTAAACTCCTCATTTTATGGAAGTATACCTTTCTCTGGATGCTTCATCTGGGATACCCAAGCTTATTTCCCTGTCAAACCTTCCCGCACGTCGCAAAGCAGGGTCTAAAGAATCTGGTCGGTTAGTGGCTCCAATGACCAGGACCTGGGCTGTAGCCACCACATTATTCAGATCTATCAATAGTAAGAACAATATACAGGATGAGTGGTGAACAAGACACTTGCCACTGAGGATAATAAAGCTCATACAATCACTTAAGTGACTAGAGAGACTGTTCTGCACATTTTGACAATATACGTAACATTTGTATACACTCATCTATAAAGCTAGTATTTACTACATGTGTAATGTGTGGAAAATGTGAGGGAAGTTAAATACAAACTTCATCCTCAGGCAGCTCACAAACTACTGAGAAACACAGAAGGCACAAACAAAGCACCACAGTGACACAATGGAAGACATCATGAGTTCTGACTGAGAAACATGGGAGTGCATGGAGGAAGTAACATTCTGGAAAAAACCTTAAAGAGTGAGTAGGAGATTAATCATCAAAGATATAGGTTAATGAAATTCTACAGGGAAGAAATGGTATGAGTGAAATAAGAGAGGAACAAACACACATGGTATGTCAGCACAAGGCGAGCAGCTCAACAACAGTGGGGTTCTTTGCTGTTTTTCCTACCCTGGTTTATAAAGGGGAACCCTAAAACACTGAGAGATACACATCAAAAATCCCAATTACTGGGCCTCCCCTGGTGGCGCAGCGGTTGAGCGCTGGGTTGCGAGGTTTCCTGCAGCCTCTACAGTGCCAATTCAATCCCCGGCCACCGGCGAGGGTCCCACCAAAAAAAAAAACACCAAAACAAAACAAAAAACCCAATTACTAGGGCTTTCAATATCATTCTAGTAACTGATAATCTACTTAAATCCGTGTACTTGCTCACTTTTCCACATTTAATATATGGTAGCAGAATGCTTCTGCAACCCATGAGGTATATACAGATTCAATGCTATTCCAATAAAAATCTCAATGTCATTCTTCAAAGAAATAGAACAATTATTGATGAAATTCATATGGAATCACCAAAAACCCCGAATAGCCAAAGCTCTCCTGAAAAGAAAAGAAGGGAATAGAGGCATCACCTGCCCAGATTTCAAACTACACTACAAAGCCATAATCATCAAAACTGCATGGTATTGGAACAAGAACAGACACACAGACCAACAGAATTGAATAGAAAATCCAGAAATAAACCCACAGATTTATGGTCAACTAATCTTTGACAAAGGAGCAAAGACTATGCATTGGAGCAAAGAAAGTTTGTTCAATAAATGGTGCTAGAAAAACTGGGTCGCTACATGCAAAAGAATGAAGCTTGACCACTACCTCACACCATACACAAAAATCAACTCAAAATGGATTAAAGAACTAGACATAAGACCTGGAACCATAAAATACATAGAAGGAAATACAGGCGAAACACTACATGACATGCACATCAAAGACATCTTTACAGACACATCACCCAAAGCAGTGGTAGTGAAGGCAAAGATAAACAGCTGGGACTATATCAAATTAAAGAGCTTCTGCACAGCAAAAGAGACAATAACAAAAACAAAGAGAAACCCCACTGACTGGGAGAACATTTTTGCACACAACACTAATGATAAAGGACTGATCACAAAAATCTGCAAAGAGCTGATGAGACTCAACAACAACAAAGAAAATAACCCAGTCAAAAAATGGGGAGAAGAGCTAAAAAGAAACTTCTCTGAAGAAGAAATGCAAATGGCCAACAGGCATATGAAAAAATGTTCAACATCACTTGTAATCAGGGAAATGCAAATCAAAACTACCATGAGATACCATCTGACACCAGTGAGAATGGCACATATTAAAAAAACTAGCAACAACAAATGTTGGCGAGGATGTGGAGAAAAAGGAACTCTCCTGCACTGTTGGTGGGAGTGCAAACTGGTCCAACCACTATGGAGAGCTGTGTGGAGATTTCTGGACCTACTAAACATAGAGCTTCCATATGATCCAGCAATTCCACGCCTAGGTATTTACCCAAAGGACACAGAAATATCAATTCCAAAGAGCACCTGCACCCCTATGTTTATAGCAGCACTGTTTACAATAGCTAAGCTTTGGAAACAACCCAAATGCCCAAAAATAGATGACTGGATCAAGATGTGGTACATATACACCATGGAATATTACTCAGCATTCAAAAAAGATAAACACATGCAATTTGCAGCAACATGGATGGCGCTGGAAGGGATCATGCTCAGCGAAATAAGCCAGAAAGTAAAAGAAAAATACTGGATGGTCTCACTCATAGCAGGAATCTAGAAAACTTAAATAAGGGACCAGGAAAAAGAATAACTATAAGAAAGTGAAAATCAAAATCAACAACTATGAACCAGAGACACTCTATGGGGGGTAGCGGATGGGGAGGGGAGGGACTGGGCTCAAAATAAGGGGGTTGCAATTGTATGGGGAATATAAAAATAAAATAAAATTTATTAAAAAAAAAAAGGATCTGGGCCTCCCTGATGGCATAGGGGGTTAAGTGCAGCCCTGTAAAACTGTCCGCAATTTCTGCAAATGTCAAGTTCGATCCCCGGCTGGCCACATGGCATGGCAGACCTCTCCTGTCTCGCCTGCTGCTCCCCTCAGCAGTGTTTTTGGTTGGTCTGCCTGTTCTACTACCCGCTCTGTCTCTGGTGAATCCTCTCACCCTTTTGCCCCTCTGACCTCTACCCCAGTTCTTGTATGCATAAATAAATAAAACTTGAAAAAAAAATAAAATAAAAAGGGATCTGTTTCGGGCCTCCCTGGTGGTACAAGGGGTTAAGCGTCAGGACTATCAAGCTATTGGCAGCCACTGCAGAACAAGTTCGATCCCCAGCCAGAGAGCTAACCCACATGGTGCAGCAGACCTCTCCTGTCTTGCCCGCTGCTCCCCTCAGCAGTATATTTCAGTCAATCCGCCTGTTTTGCTCCTCAACCTGTCTCTGGTGAATCCTTTCAACAAATCCCCCCACCTCCGTCCTGCACCCCAGTTCTTGTATGCATAAATAAATCTTAAAAATAAAAAAGGATCTGGTTCATTAGCATATTAAATTAGTCCTTCAAATGAATTTTTAAGAAACAACAATTAATGGGCAAAGAATGAGAAAAGGGATTTTGGAGTTGATACAACTAGCGACAAATATATGAAAAGATGATCAATCTCAACAGTGATGAGGCAAATTAAAACAAACATCTATCAATTTTTCACCTATCATATAGGCAAAAATTAAAACAACTGATAACATTCAGTGTTGTCAAGGATCTGGAGAAAAGGAGACTCTTGTAAGCATTGGTAAAAATGCAAACCAGGGCCTCCCTGGTGGCGCAGTGGTTGAGCACTGGGTTGCGAAGCTACCCGCAGCCTCTGCAGCACCAGTTCGATCCCTGGCTGCTCCCCGGCCACCGGAGGTGGATCCCACATGGCGCGCAGACCTCTCCTGTCTCCCGCTGCTCCCCTCAGCAGTGTACTTCATCAGTCTGCCTGTTCTGTTCCCTGCTCTGACTCTGGCGAATTCTCTCACCCTCCTGCATTTCTGACTGTACCCATTGCTTGTATAAATAAATAAATAAATCTTAAAAAAAAAAAAAAAAGGCAAACCACAGGGGCCTCCCTGGTGGCGCAAGGGGTTAGGACACTAGGACACAACCTATGAAGCAATCCGCAGCCACTGCAGCACGAGTTCAATCCGCCAGCCGGGGAGCGGCCCACATGGCACAGCAGACCTCTCCTGACTCTCCCGCTGCTCCCCTCAGCAGTGTGTTTCAGTCAATCTGCCTGTTCTGTTCCCCACTCTGTCTCTGGTGAATCCTCTCACCATCCACATGTCTGGCCTGTACCCCAGTTCTTGTATGCATAAATAAATAAATCTTTAAAAAAAAGAAAAGAAAATGCAAACCACAAAGTCTTCTTAGAATACTTCAAAATGAGAATTCTTAAATACAAATTGGAAAATCTATCTTAAACAGCCTGTAGCAGTTAAAAAGAGGCAAACAATATATACATTAAAATAACAATATTTCTAAGACATGTTAAGATACAAACAAAAAGCTATAGAACAATGTACATGGTGCAACTGTAGCATTGTAAAAAATAAAATAGCAAGTGAGTTTATGTACTTATATGTAAATGCATTAAAAATAACTAAGGCTCGAAAAATTTAATTTAATGGTATAATCTTTCCTGAAAAGAAAAAGATTTGTATTTTACTCTATTTAGATGGTTCCTATCCTTACAATACATTACTTTACAATACATTACAATACAATACATTTATTATCTTAAAATAACTTCACTATTTTGGGGCCTCCCTGGTGGTGTAGCACTGTGCTGTGAGGCTGTCCACAGCCTCTGCAGCGTGGGTTCAATTGCCGGCTGGGGAGAGACCCATGTGGTGTGGCAGACCTTTCCTGCCTCGCCCACTGCTCCCCTCAGCAGTGTCTTCAGTCCATCTGCCTGTTCTGCTCCCCATCCCCGCTCTCTCTGGTGAATTCTCTCATCCTCCCGCACCTCTGATCTATACTCCAGTTCTTGTATAAATAAATAAATCTTTAAAAAAAAAATAACTTCACTATTTTAAACAGACCATCCATGCAGGTTAGAAGCTGGGCTACAATTCTTCTTTCCATATCTTTTGAAGCAACTTCTCTTTTGGGGGTAATAGCATCAATTTCATCAATAAAAAGGATACAGGGTGCATCTGACTAGAAATAAGAATAGCACAAAAAGACAGTCATAAATATATTCTCTATATTGCAATGTGTTAACTATACAATAGTCCAATTATTTGCAATTTTACTTTCTGTAGTTTCTATTACAGTAACTGTGATCCAAAAAAATTACATACATATTATATTTTGAGACAGACAGAAACCATTCATAACTTTTGTTTTGAACAGCAAATGTTTTACTATTAGTAACTTATCAATTTTATTATTATTAGTAACTGTTGTCAATCTTACTATACCTAATTTATACATTAAGTTTTATCATAGCTATATGTACACAGGAAAACATAGTATACGCAATTAGTTCAGTACTATCTACAATTTCAGGCATCCACCAGGACATATCTCCTATGGATAAGGGAAACTACTGTATATATTATTTTAAAAGTCTTAATGTTCCAGGATCATTTACCAAAAGAATAACCCTAAAGAAGGAAGTTCACAGGGTACTTTTTTTTTTTAAGATTTATTTATGCATACAAGACTTGGGTATAGGCCAGAGGTGTGTGTGGGGGGGGTGAGAGGATTCACCAGAGACAGAGTGGGGAGCACAACAGGCAGATCTATGAAATACACAGGAGAGGTCTGCTGCACCATGTGGGTCGCTCCCTGGCCAGGGATTGAACTTGTGCTGCAGTAGTTGAGGATTGCTTCATAGTGCCGTGTCTTAACCCCTTGAGCTACCAGGGAGAACCCCATAGGGAATTATTTCTGTGTTTTATCAAACTTAAGAGAAGCAAGATATTTGAGATAGTAGACTAAACCTAGTATAACATTTTAGTCTTTTGGACAATCCATGTTATAATGATAAATTGACTGAAATTCTTTTATAAGTCAGACATCTTTGCTAGCTATGAAATACATATGAGTTTATAAACTATTTTTTTAACTTTTTGTAAGGATTTATTTATTTATACAAGAACTGGGGTATAGGCCAGAGGCGTGGGAGGGTGAGAGTATTCACCAGACAGAAAGGCGAGCAGAACAGGCAGACAGATTGAAGACACTGCTGAGGGGAGCAGTGGGCGAGACAGGAAAAGTCTGCCATGCCATGTAGGTATCTCCCTGGCCCGCAGCGAATGGAACCTGCGCTACAGAGGCTGCAGACAGCTTCACAGCACTGCACAAAACCCGTTGCGCCACCAGGGAGGCCCAAGTTTATAAACTTTAAATAGAAAACCTAAGCTTTCTACAATCATGATGTGAGTGATTCTATCAACATAAAAATATCTAAGCTTTTCCCTAGAATCTGCTATAAGGGGAATTTAAGGAGCACCAAAGGCTTTGTGGCTTTTTTGTTTGTTTGCTTAAGATTTATTTTTATTTATACAAGAACTGGGGTACAGGCCAGAAGCATGGGAGGGTGAGAGGATTCACCAGAGACAGAGTGGGAAGCAGAACAGGCAGATGGACCAAAGACACTGCTGAGGGTAGCAGCAGGCAAGGCAGGAGAGGTCCACCATGCCACATGGGTATCTCCCTGGCTGGCTGGGAATAGAACCCATGCTGCAGAGGCTGCGGACAGCTTCACAGTGCTGCACTCAACCCTCTGCGCCACCGGGGAGGCCCCAAGGCTTTGTTTTTAATTTACCTTCTATGTGATAAAATACAGGTGAAAGTTACTGATTTAATCATTTTAAGTATATTTTAGTGGTATTAAATACGTCCACATGTTGTATAATCCTCACCACTATTCATTCACGAGAGGAATTTTTTCATTAAAAATGATGTATTTAAAAATCAACAAAAAACTATGAACCAGAGACATTTTTAGGGGGGCGGGGCGGGAGGGGAGGGATTGGGGTCAGAATGGGGGGGGGCTGCAATTGTATGGGGAATATAAAAATAAAATTTATTATTTAAGAAAAAAAAATAAATTGCACTTAGTTAAAAAAAAAAATAAAAAAATAAAATAAAAATGATGTATTTATAGGGGCCTCCCTGGTGGTGCATTGGGTTAAGACGCAACCTATGAAGCTGTCTGCAGCCACTGCAGCACAAGTTCAATCCCCCGGCCGGGCAGGGAGCAACCCATATGGCGCAGCAGACCTCTCCTGACTCGCCCACTGCTCCCCTCAGCAGTGTACTTTGGTCAATCTGCCTGTTCTATTTCCCGCTCTGTCTCTAGAGAATCCTCTCACCCCCCCATAACTCTGGCCTGTACCCCAGCTCTTGTATACATAAATAAATCTTTAAAAAAAATTACGTATTTATATAAAAATTGATGTTTACTTTTTCCCCAGAACTTTTTCATTCTGAAATTACCACTTTTGAAGAATACACTGAATAAGGAAGAATGGTAAAGTTTCCATAAATAAGTTAAGGCACAAACCAGACAAGGTTCACACAGAGGAACTATGATATTTAAGCATTAACTACCTATAGTAGTCAATCAAATTCAGAAGCAAATAAGTAGAATAATGGTTGCCAGTGACTGTGGGGAGAATAAAATGGGGAGTTAGTGGATAATGGGGAGAGTTTCAGTTGAGGAAGATGTAAAGTTCAAGAGACAGAGACGGGGGTGATGGTTCTACACATGAGTATATTTAATGCCACACAACTCTACACTCAAAAAAAAAAAATTTTTTTTAAGATTTATTTATTTATTTATACAAGCACTGGGTACAGTCAGAAGTGCAGGAGGGTGAGAAAATTCACCAGAGCCAGAGCAGGGAACAGAACAGGCAGACTGACGAAATACACTGCTGAGAGGAGCAGTGGGCACGGCAAGAGAGGTCTGTCTCTTGTGGGACCACCAGGGGAGGCCCCACACTCAAAAATTTTTAATGGTAAACTGTATGTTAAATCTATTTTACCACAATAAAAGACAAAAAGAGATAAGGATCAGTTGAAGTTAAAAATTGTAATGAAACTATCTAGATTTACAATCTAAAGTACAGCTGATTCTTAGTTATTCAGTGGTTAAGAGTGATAATGATTACATTAAGAGTCACACTTAGAACTGGCTAAGACATCTCAAAGCAATAGGTACAACTGCCTTTTAAAAGGAAAGAAATCCAGGGGCCTCCCCTGGTGGCGCAGAGGTTGAGTGCTGGGCTGCGAAGCTGCCCGCAGCCTCGGCAGCACCAGTTCGATCCCTGGCCACCAGCGAGGGTCCCACATGGTGCGCAGACCTCTCCTGCTGTGCCCGCTGCTCCCCTCAGCAGTGTACTTCAGTCCTTCTGCCTGCCCTGCTCCCGGCTCTGGCTCTGGTGAATTCTCTCACCCTCCCATGCTTCTGACTTTACCCAATGCTTGTATAAATAAATAAATCTTAAAAAAAAAAAAAAAAAAAAAAAAAGGGGAAAGACATCTGGACCATCACTAGCTGGCTTTCTTCCTAATCCTTATGACAGTGTTTACAAAGGAGTACCTATGACGGCTGGATACACTATAGACACAAAGCATGAACAATTTTATCTGCAGTGACCTGGAAAATGGAACAACAAAAGCTGAAAGAAAAAGAGTAAGTGGTGGTCATTACAATTTAGCCTAAGGCCTAAATTGGCATTGCATGCCAATTTAACAATTAAATAGAGCTCATTTTGGAAAATAGATAACTCTTGATAGAGTTTAGCTTTGTAACCTTCCCTTCCCACTCTCAAGTAGATAGCTTCTTACATCCTTGCAATTTAAAAAGTATTTTCTCTATTACTACAAAAATACAATTTCTCTTCTAATTTCACATCAACTTCTAGCAGTTGCATTGGCCATGTTCACCAGCCCTTGTATATTTCGAGAGCAAATGATATGAAGTTAAACTTTTAACCACAGTGATGACTAGTGACTGCTCAAGTGTACATAATGTCCTAACTAATATCAGGGCCTTTGCTATGTACTTGGCACTACCTTTCATAATACCCTCAACAACCCCATGAGATTTAAGTACTACTATTAACCCCGTCTATTAGTAAGAAACTAAAGGTTAGTGGTTAAATATCTTGCCCCAGATTACATAATCAGTATAAGGTGGCACAAGGATATGAAACTGTTTCTGACTTGAAAGTACATTTCATCATTATGCTACACTGAAAGTAGAGCTTAACTGACATAAATGTTATCTTCAGAAGTTTGTAAACATCCACATTTTAACAACATGACTTACAATTAGGATAAAATCCAATCTAGAATTTCTCTAATAACAATTTTCTGTTCTACATTTAATTACACAAATAGAGAAGAGTTGAATCCTGGCATTTTTTAATGCCACAGTTGAATGTCAGAGTTGAATCTATGGCAGTTTTTAAAAAGTAATAATCCTAAATGTTAAAATTCTCACACTGCTTTTAAGTTTTTTGGTCAAACCTAAGTTGAATAAAAGAAAATATCACAAGGATAATCTATGTTGAATCTATTGAGTATGACAGCTTCTCACCAACTGTATTTATGTCTGATTTCAGATTAAACAGGTTATTTTCTACAAGGCTGTATTAATAAATCAATCATAAGTGGTGAGCCATAGGGCATAGCAAATTACCATATTTACAAAAGAGTGGCAGGCTAAATGGATTAAACAAATACCAGAATTAAACAAATATAGTCTAACATTAAAGGAAACAAGATCTTCAACATAAACATGTGACAGCCTGAGGGTCAGTCGTTAACTGACTTACCACAGCTTGTTTAAATAGTTCTCTCAGCTTTTGTTCGGATTCTCCAGATACTCCAGATACAATCTCTGTAGCAGCCACTTTCAAAATTGGAAGGTCAAGTTCCTGTGCACAACAGAACACAACAAAATAACCAAATTTTTAAATTTTAACTTCCTTTTTTATTTTTTTCCTTATTTGGCCCCTCTTTCAAATTTTTATGTTTTAAATGACTTAATTCTCTAAGAAACTTCATCCATTTGTGTTGGTGCAATGAAAATCATTACTTAAAAGTCTGATTTATTCAAATACATTAAGTGGATACCTCCAACTTGTTTTTATCTTACAATTGTTAATATAAAGGTTTATTATTATCTCCTGTGTGAATAAAAGGTAGTAAATATCAAGATGTGATGATTATCCTCCACTTAGAGCTATGCCCATACAATTTTATCTATTATTTATCTCCTGAATAGGAAGCAGCAGAAGTTAAGACACTGTTGTCTCCCATACACCTTACCAGCATTTCTCCACTCCTGAGCCCAGAGAAGTGGCCAGTTCATTACTAGTCAGAGGTAGATTCTTTAAGTAAAGGAAGAGAGACTGATGTCCCATTATTACCATTTTTGAAAGGATTTTTAACACTGAAAAAACATGATTTTGAATGAAAATTTTGCATAAATCTACCATGAAAACCAATATAATCCTTAGTTTTATTTTATGGTTTTTGAGATGCATCAGTGTAAAAAGAAAAAGAGAACTAAAAATGCAAACTATGTGTTAAATAAAAAAGCGTTGGTTACAGCTATATTTTTTTGCTTCCCAGTCAGCTCTTACTGTATAAATAACTGGATATACAACAAAAAAACCAGCACCTCACAATAGTATGAAAGAGGCAAAAAATGACAATGAAGAATGGATCAGTTCTCAGGGACTATATTCTAAGAATATGCCAAGTCTGACCAAAGAGAAAAAACAAATAGCGAAAGCAAAATCAGCAAACCTCACCCCAGCAATCGCATGTGCAAGTAATGTCTTCCCACAGCCTGGTGGCCCATGAAGAAGGACTCCACGAGGGGGCACGACACCTAGGTGCTGGTACACCTCCGGGTGACGCATGTGAATGAGCATCTTGCAGACTTCCTAGCAGGGAGTAAAGAGGAAAAATGTCTTTCACAGCTGAAGAGAACAAGATTCAATGAGATGTCCCATTTTTTTTTTTTTTTTGAGCAGCAAAACAGTAGAGTCCAGATTTTATTTTATTTATTTATGTACTTATACAAGCACTGGGTACAGTCAGATGCGGGAGGGTAAGAGAATTCACCAGAACCAGAGGGGAGAACAGAGCAGGCAGAATGACGAAGTACACTGCTGAGGGGAGCAGTGGACAGCAGCAGAGGTCTGCGTGCCATGTGGGACCCTCACCCGGTGGCAGGGATTGAACCAACACTGCAGAGGCTGCGGGTAGCTTCGCAACCCAGCGCTCAACCGCTGCACCACCGGGGAGGCCCAGAGTCCAGATTTTAGACTCCACCTGAGTTTGAATGCAAGCTCTAGAACCTATTACTTGACTTCAGCAATAACCCCACTGAGATTCTATCTCCTCAGCTATAATTTCATCTGCCTTGCACACATAATGAAAAGTAGGGTCTCCTTGGTGGTGCAGGGGATGATATCTCAGCACTATCTAGCTATCACCAGCCACTGTGGCATGAGTTCAATCCCTGGCCAGGGATCTAACCCACAAGGTGCAACAGACCTCTCCTGTCTTGCCTGCTGCTCCCCTCAGCAGTGTATTTCAGTCGGTCTGACTGTTCTGCTCCCCACTCTGTCTCTGCCGAATTCTCTCACACCCCCCACACCTCTGACCTACACCCCAGTTCTTTTATGCATAAACAAATAAAAAAAATCTTTAAAAAAAGAAAAGTAGGGCCTCCCTGGTGGCGCAAGGGGTTAAGCACAGTACTGTGAAGCTATCCGCAGCCTCTGCAGGACGAGTTCAATCCCCTGCCAGCCAGGAAGCAACCCACATGGCACAGCAGAACTCTCCTGTCTCACTGGCTGCTCCCCTCTGTAGGGAGCAGTATTTCAGTCAGTCTACCTGTTCTGCTCTCCACTCTTTCTCTGGAGAATCCTCTCACCCCCTACACCTCTGGCCTGTATCCCAGTTGTTGTATGCATAAACAAATAAATCTTAAAAAAAAAAAATTTGAATTTGAACTAACTTTTAATGTGGTGTCATTGCCTCCAACATCTTCAAACTTCACATTGGAGATCTGCAATTCTAGTCCCCTGGCTTTGACTGGTAAACAAAAAATGGAGAAGGTACAGAGATTAGTGATTCAGTATTGATCAGTTATATTTAAAATCTTTAAGTAAACAAAGATCCATTCATTAGAAAATATTTCTCTGCACATGTATAATGTCTCTGCACATAGAAAGTCCCCAAGTACAAGTTTAAAACAGTGGTGCCTCACTCAAGGCAAACATGTCCACTGCCATTCACAAGACTTACACCTCACCTTTCTGTTGCAGGACAGCTTCTATTTCTTCATCTACTTCCTGAAGTTCTATCTTCCTTTTGCTTCCTTTCCTCTTTAGCCTGCTTTTCCGTTTTTTATCATTCTCCAGAAGAGAAAAATCTTTCGAATCCTAGAAAGAAATTTTAAATATGGTGTGCTTGAAATCACAATGTGTATTTTTAAAGATGTGTATTATTAAAAAAATCCATTTGTTGCCCTAGCACTTTCATTTGCTAGCTAGTCCCAATCTTTCTGCCCAAAGATGGGATGTCTGCTACTCATGTCGTTATTTCCAATAGCCTTTAAACTCAGTTCATATCCTAACAACTGAACACTTCCTTTTCAGATTCTTTTGATTAAATTTACTCTCTACCTCATTCTCAGAATTAGCAACTATTTTTTTTTTAAAGATTTATTTATTTATGCATATAAGAGCTGGGGCACAGGCCAGAGGTGTGGGGGGGTGGGGTGAGAGGGTTCACCAAAGACTGAGCGGGGAACAAAACAGGCAGACTAACCAAAGTACACTGCTGCGGGAAGTAGCAGGTGAGTCAGGAGAGGTCTGCTGAGCAATGTCGGTTGCTGCCTGGCCGGCCGGGGATAGAACATGTGCTGCAGAGGCTATGGACAGCTTCATAGGTTGTGTCTCAACCCCTTGCGCCACCAGGGAGGCCCAGAATTAGCAATTATTATGGCATACCATAACCTATCTTGTATTTGCGTGACTGAACTGTCTCACTGAATTGTGAGCTTCTCCAGTTTTAACACTAACATTCATCTTTAACATCTCACTGAGTCTTTCGTATAGCTGTTAATCTGATAGCTGATCATAACTAAATTAAATGACCACAGTGTTGCTTTGACAGCCATAGGAAAGTATAATTCAACCTAACAGTTAATCTTTTTCCATGACCCCACCAGCCATAATAGTCCCTAAAAATGGATGATTAAAGTAAAGAGATTTAGAAGTGTCCATTAGCAGCTCAAAAGGGGGGGGGGCCTCCCTGGTGGCGCAAGGGGTTAGGCTTCAGCACTATCAAGCTACTGGCAGCCACTGCAGCACAAGTTCAATCCCTAGCCAGGGAGCTAACCCACATGGCGCAGGAGACCTCTCCTGTCTTGTCCGCTGCTCCCCTCAGCAGTGTATTTCAGTCAGTTTGCCTGTTCTGTTCCCCACTCTGTCTCTGGTGAATCCTCTCACCCTCTGCACCTCTGGCCTGTACCCCAGTTCTTATATGCATAAATAAATAAATCTTTAAAAAAACAAAGTTCAAAAGGGAGAGTTTTGCAAAGCCAAATGGCTTAAGTTTTTGGAAATTGCTCAGAACAATACAGTCCAAAGAGAACGTAATGGGGGCCTCCCCGGTGGCGCAGCGGTAGAGCGCTGGGTTGCGAAGCTGCCCGCAGCCTCTGCGGCGCCGGTTCGATTCCCGGCTGCTCCCCGGCCACCGGAGGAGGGTCCCACATGGTGCGCAGACCTCTCCTGCCACCCGCTGCTCCCCTCAGCAGTGTACTTCGGTCCTTCTGCCTGTTCTGCTCCCCGCTCTGGCTCTGGTGAATTCTCTCACCCTCCCGCGCTTCTGACTATACCCAGTGCATGTATAAACAAAAAACAAAATGAACAAACAAATAAATAAATAAATAAATAAAACATGCCTCTATAAAAAAAAAAAAAAAAACAAAGAGAACGTAATGATAGCCATATATGTAATTATATATATTCTAGTAGCCAATGTAAAAAAGGAAAAAAGACAAGTGAAATTAATATTCTACTTAAACTTAAAACATCATTCAACATAGTATGAAAAATTATTAATGAGGTGTTTTTTTTTTTAGTAAATCTTCAAAGTCCAATGTGTACTTTAAGCTTACAGCACATGACAATTCACACTAAATTTCCATGGGCAAGACTTGATTTATATTTACATTTCATAAATTTACAGTTGAAAAAGCAGATTGAAATATCCAAATCATTTCGAATATACTTAGTATTCTAACAGCTGAATGACCTTTTAGTTTTTAGATTTAAATAAAATATACAGTTCCTCATTTGCATAATTCATTGCTACATTTTAAGTGCTCATTAGACACATGTGGTTTGCACTTACCACACTGGACAGTCTACCCTAGAGTATATTCAGCATTCTATTGTGGGATGGGTTCTTTAAAACCCATTCACTCTGCTATGCATTAAAAACAATCAGTTAACATCTTTGATGTTGACTTTGTGATAATTCATCAAGCTTTACTTTTCTTTTTGTATGGCATATTTCAATTTAAGAGGTAAAAAAAGGTGTGTACTTTTTCCTAAAACTATTAATTTTCTGTAATACATACCCAAAGTAGTCTTTTTTTTTTTTTTTTTTTAAGATTCATTTATTTATTTATACAAGCACTGAGTACAGTCAGAAGCGCGGGAGGGTGAAAGAATTCACCAGAACCAGAGGGGAGAGCAGAGCAGGCAGACTGACATAGTATACTGCTGAGGGGAGCAGCGGGCACAGCAGGAGAGGTCTGCCCACCATGTGGGACTCTCGCTGGCAGCCGGGGATCGAACCGGTGCTGCAGAGGCTGCCAGCAGCTTCGCAGCCCAGTGCTCAACCGCTGTGCCACCAGGGGAGGCCCCCAAAATAGTTAGTCTTTCATTCTCCTTTTTTTTTTATTCTCCTTTTTTCTTAATGGCTATAATGGTTTGCAATGCATGTGATTCAGAGTCATAAGATCATACCTCCTCAGATGTATGTCACCTACATTACACTCACTACCAAGATATCCACAGTAGTTATTCATTATCTCTCACTAGTAAATAAATCTCAGAAAGTACACTAGGCACTAATTAAAGAAAGTGAATGATGACTACATGTTAGATGTATTTTACACAGACACATCAGAAAGTACAAATGCAGGGCCTCCTTAGTACGCAGGGGTTAAAGTCTCAGCATTCTCAAGCTATCACCAGCCACTGTGGCATGAGTTTGATCCCCGGCCAGGGAGCTACCCACATGGCTCAGCAGACCTCTCCTGTCTTGCTCACTGCTCCCCTCAGTAGTGTACTTCAGTAGATCCACCTGTTCTGCTTTCTACTCTGTCCCTGATGAATCCTCTCACTCCCTGCACATCTGTCCTACACCCCAGTTCTTGCATGCATAAATAAATAAAACTCAAAAAAAGAAAAGAAAGTACAAGTGCAAATGCACCAAGTGAGAGTGGTGTGTTCTAGAAACAGCAAAAGACCACTGTGGCTGAAACAGAGCTGCGAGGGGAGAAGGTGATGAGGTTACAGAGACAACAGAGAAGCCAAATCATGCAGGGCTTTTATTGGCAATTGCCAAGATCTCTGATTTTAGACTGAATGAAGCCCTAGAAGGTTTTTAATGCAAGACTAATAATGAACTAACCTAACTTTTAAAAAAGATAACTCTGTGTGAAGAGTAAGAATGGAAATAGACACCATTTAGGAGGTTATTTCAAAAGTTATGGTAAGAAAAAGAAGGGCCTCCCCGGTGGCGCAGCGGTTGAGCACTGGGTTGCGAAGCTACCCGCAGCCTCTATAGTGCTGGTTCGATCCCCGACTGTCCAGTAAGGGTCCCACATGGCGCGCAGACCTCTCCGGCCGCCCGCTGCTCCCCTCAGCAGTGTACTTCGGTCCTTCTGCCTGCTCTGCTCCCCGCTCTGACTCTGGTGAATTCTCTCACCCTCCCGCGCTTCTGACTGTACCCAGTGCTTGTATAAATAAATAAATATTAAAAAAATAAAATAAAATTGTAACTTTAAAGAAAAAAAAGAAGAGCAAAGACTTGAAATAGAACAGAATTGATAGTGGCAGTGGGAAATAATCAAATTCTGCTATTTTAAAGTACCAATGTTTTTACTAAACACAAGAATCTGTTTGATATTATAGTCAGTGAAAGGGTTTCAATGTATTTCATCTACAGAGAGCTAAAATTTCACCACAAAAATACCTCTATCTCAGATATTGGTTTCTTCTGATTACTTTTCTCATCTGACAAGTCCAAGAAAAAACCATCTTTGCTTCCACCTGGAGTTTTGTCAATGAACCATCCTCCTTCAGAACTGCTGGCAGGGGTCTTCAAAGGAATGGAGCCTGTTTTGGAAGTGATTCGTGGTGTTGAAACCGTGGTTCCTCTTTGCTCCACCTCAGGAGTACTTGAAACAGAGTTAGGATTTCCTTTCCGATATAGGGAGACCAGGGAACTGTTCATATGGTTTGCTGACTGGCACAAACACACAAATTAGCCAATATGCATTCATGAAAGTATATTTACCTGTATTAGCAGTTTTCTACATTTTGCTTTCATAACTTCTCTCACATTTACAGTCAGAAAACATAGATGTTCACAGTAAGATGATTCACAAACAGACATTTACTAATCAAAAAGACACAGCTCCCTTTCACTACAAATTAATGCACCAATTCATAATTGGCAGTTAAACAAAACAAAAACATGTATGGTCATTTTTACAAAATACAACATAATTATAAAAACAAGCAGGTAGCCAATAAATCACTACTATCCCATCAATTCAAAATTATATCAAATATAACAGTATCATTATGACTTTGTTTATAATACAAATACTGAGTTACCAACAGGGAAAAACAGAGAATAAGTTAAAAATAATTTGACATATTATTCCTATTGTCAGCTCTTGAACAGAAAATGTATCCTTTTCTCAATTTTTACTATTAATTACTCTGTGTATTACTGTCTATTCTGTGTATTTCTGGTCATTCTCTTCCCTTGTTTCTGCAGAGCTGGCTATCAACAATTAGTAGAATGATGGCTAATCTACAAGTTCATCAACACTGTAAACCTAAGTATTTAATTATTTAATTGTATAAGTATTTAATTGACGAAGATGTTTAAAATCCCTTATTCTGTTCCTTACTGATTTTTCTAAGGAGGGTTCAGAATGAATTTTAAAAAACCAAAATGGGGGGGCCTCCCCGGTGGCGCAGCGGTTGAGCGCTGGGTTGCGAAGCTGCCTGCAGCCTCTGCAGCGCCGGTTTGATCCCCGGCTGCTTCCCAGCCACCGGAGGAGGGTCCCACAAGGCGCGCAGACCTCTCCTGCCGCCCGCTGCTCCCCTCAGCAGTGTACTTCGGTCCTTCTGCCTGCTCTGCTCCCTGCTCTGGCTCTGGTGAATTCTCTCACCCTCCTGCGCTTCTGACTGTACCCAGTGCATGTATAAATAAATAAATAAATCTTTATATATATTTAAAAAAAAAAAAAACCAAAAAACCAACCAAAATGGGTTCATCAAATGTTTAGCTTACCTGTGGATCTGGGTAATCTTCCACATTTGAATCATCATCAGAATAGCTTTCCATATACCTCAGTTAAAAAGAAGAAATGTTTTAAAGACTTTTCCACATCTTAAAAAATAACTACCTATAAAAAGAAACTACACTAAGGTAAAATATTATAGTGGTTAGAAGTCCACCCTTTGGAATCAGAGAAATTTGGATTCAAAATCCAGCTTCTACCACTTCCTAGCTTCTATTCAACTCTCTTGAGTTTCAGCTTCCTTATCTATAAAATGGAGATAATAAATCTAACTGGGTTATTAGATGATTAAACAAAGGCTTACAAAGTCCTTAAACACAGTATTTAAATATTTAAAAAACTGTGGTTATGTTTATCCTAAAATAAATAAAAATTACATGCAAATTCCCATCGGATCCAAGAGTCTCATTTAGCAATATCAGCTGCCAAACAGAGAAAACATTCTAGCAAGCCATAATTAATATCCTGAGTATTAAACTCACAAGTTCAACAAGGCCAAGTCATGTGACTAACTATAACTTTTCTAAATTTGCTCATGAGGAATGAAGTAAAGAAATTTTTATGTAAGATGGCAAAAAAAGTATAAATCCTAATAATACAAACTGAGAATGCAGTCTCAGTTCATTGTAACTGAGTTATTAAGTACTACAAGGATTGTTACTATTTATATAGTTTCTTTGGAAAATAATTCAGAAAGGGTTTTTCCTGAGTAAAAAGGTTGACATGAATACTAGGACAAACCTGTATAATAAAAAGACACGAATTATTTTATTATTCATTAAGTTCAATCAATATAACTTGGGGAGATTCCAAATCAACTTACTATTGGAAAAAGCAGTTTTGCCCTACAATTAACACAAACAAAATTAACTCCAATTGCATTAAATATTATACCTTAAAAAAACAGGAAAAGGTATAGGTAATTATTCTATATACCCTGTGATACAGGTCTTTCTAAGCCTATCCTATCAGCATGAACCATAAAGGAAGAGAGACATGACTATGTAAAGGTACAAAACTTCTCTACTCAAAACACACTAAACTAAGGGCCTCCCCGGTGGCGCAGCGGTTGAGCGCTGGGTTGCGAAGCTGCACGCGGCCTCTGCAGCGCCAGTTCAATCCCCGGCTGCTCCCCGGCCACCGGAGGAGGGTCCCACATGGCGCGCAGACCTCTCCTGCCGCCTGCTGCTCCCCTCAGCAGTGTACTTCGGTCCTTCTGCCTGTTCTGTTCCCCACTCTGGCTCTGGTGAATTCTTTCACCCTCCCGTACTTCTGACTGTACCCAGTGCATGTATAAACAAAACAAACAAACAAATAACGTGCCTCTATTAAAAAATATATATATATATTAAAAAAAAAAAAACACACTAAACTAAAATGGCAAAATGGGACAAGCATTTGCAATGCACTACAAAAAGAGGTATGATCACATAGAATTCTAACCACTACTAAGGAAAACTCAAATCTCTCTCAAATGAGACACATCTGAGACAGCAGACAGTTCACAAATTCATAGACCAACGAAGAATGCGACCTCTTCAGGGAACAGTGAGCACTCATAGTATGTCTGAAGGAGATGCCTAAACAGGTTAGTAAATCAGAGCTTCAATGGCAATGAAAGTTTTACAAATAAGAATGTAATGTAATGTGGGTCAGGTTCATGATTTAGGAAAAAACCCTTCACATTGTAATCCTTACTCATTATCCTCTTCACCTTGTCTTGCTCTTTTTGCCAAATGTTCATCTTCCAATTCTGTTATATCCTTAATTTCTTTCTCACTGCTAATTATGCTAAATACTGAAACAAAAAGAAGAATGCTATGAGTGAAAACAATTTTTCCCTAACTTTATTCAACTCTTCTAATAATAAAAGACTCACCTTTTTCTACTTGAATCCTAAAAGCGTTTCGTTTTCTTCGACCATAGTCTATACTGAAAAAAAGAGCACTAAGTTTAGTACACCAGTCTTCATTAATATTTTTCCGTTAAGCTTGATCTAACTGCACCACAAAAATCTGTATGAGTATAAAACTGTCACTATAACTATACAGCAATTTTCAATTTTTAACTTTGTATTTTTATTATTAAACTTTTTCCAGATATTTTGCCTGATAGTCTTCTCTTCGCTTTATTTTGAAATTTCTAACCAATAAAAATGTGAAATAATGTAATGAACATCCTTATACTCTTTTATCGATCTTCATAAATCAACATTTTTACCATATTTATTACTTTGCTTCTTTGATGTACCAAGAATATTTTTTGGCAAAATTATCTGAATGTAAGTAGCAGATACTGTACCCCAAATCTAAATTTCTGAAAAACAATGAGGCAGAAGGGGAAGCTGGGAAGATCTGAAGATAGATACTGGACCTGACATGGGTTTGAAGGATGAAGGGGGTCATGAGCCAGGGAATGAATGCAAGTGATCCCCAGAGAATGACTATTGGCAAAACAGACACAGGGAACTCAGACCTACAGGTACATGAAACTGGATTCTGTCAACATTCCAAAAGACCTTGAAGTGTACTCTTCCAGTACTTCCAAGAAGAGTCCAACTAGCTGACACATTGATTGTGGCAATGTGAAACCTGAGAGACTGGTTGTTTAATCAACTAAGGTAGAGAAGAAGTTATGAAGAAAAGGCAATTCATACATTTCAGTAGCTTGAGTGGCAGGGCTAGAATGAAGCTCAGAATACTCTTAGAAGGAATTTTAATGAAGGGGAGGAGAAATATTGGGTGGTAGGTAAAGTGGGGTATACAACTTTTTTATTTTTTTTTTTAAGATTTATTTATTTATGCATGTAAGAACTGTGGTGTAGGCTAGAGGTACAGGGGTGGGGTGGGGGGGTGGTGAGAGGATTCACCAGAGACAGACAGGGAGGTCCTGGGTATACAACTTTTTTAAAGCCTTCTATTTTAGTTTTACTTCCTTTCTTTTTTCCCTAAACTAAAAGAAACTTATGCTTACTTACAGATAGTATTGTTTTGCTAAGGGCTACCCTAACAAAGTAATAGAGATTTTAGAACTGAGAAGCATGGTGCTACTGTAACAAATACCTAAAAAGTGTGGAAAATGACTTTAGAACTAGATAACATGCAGAAATTACAAAGTTTTGAATAGCATGTTGGAAAAGGCTGAGACTGCCACAGGGGCCTCCCTGGTGGCACAAGGGGTTAAGATGCAACTTATGAAGCTATTCGCAGCCACTGCAGCACAAGTTCAATCCCCGGCCAGGGAGCTACCCATATGGCACAGCAGACCTCTTCTGTCTCGCCCACTTCTCTCCTCAGCAGTGTATTTCAGTCAATCTACCTGTTCTGTTCCCCACTCTTTCTCTGGTGTATCCTCTCACCCCCACACCTCTGGCCTGTACCCCAGTTCTTGTATGCATAAATAAATAAATCTTTAAAAAAAAAAAGAAGTATGGACACTGAAGGCCATTCTCAAGAACTCAAACAGAAACAGGAGAGTTTAGAGATACAGTTTATTTATTTGTTTGTTTGTTTGTTTATTTATATAAGCACTTGGTACAGTCAGAAGCACGGGAGGGTGAGAGAATTCACCAGAGCCAGAGCAGGGAGCGGAACAGGCAGACTGACGAAATATACTGCTGAGGGGAGCAGCAGGTGACAGAAGAGGTCTGCGCACCATGTGGGACCCTAGCCCGGCGACCGGGGATCAAACCGGTGCTGCAGAGGCTGCAGTCAGTTTCGCAAGCCAGTGCTCAACAGCTGCGCCACCGGGGAGGCCCCTAGAGATATAGTTTTATTTATTTATTTTTTTTAAGAGGCATGTTTTATTTATTTATTTGTTTGTTTGTTTGTTTGTTTTGTTTATACATGCACTGGGTACAGTCAGAAGCGCGGGAGGGTAAGAGAATTCACCAGAGCCAGAGGGGAGAGCAGAGCAGATAGACTGATGTAGTACACTGCTGAGGGGAGCAGCGGGCTGCAGGAGAGGTCTGCGCGCCATGTGGGACCCTCCTCTGGTGGCCGGGGAGCAGCCGGGGATCGAACCGGTGCCGCAGAGGCCACAGGCAGCTTCGCAACCCAGCGCTCAACCGCTGCGCCACCGGGGAGGCCCTAGAGATATAGTTTTAGAAATAAACATGTATCATCATAAACAGAATGTTGGTAGAAAAATAAATGTTGGGCCTCCCTGGTGGTGCAAGGGGTTAAGACACAACCTATGATGCTATCCACAGCCTCTGCATCACAAGTTTGATCCCTGGCCGGCCAGGGAGCTACCCACATGGCGCAGCAGACTTCTCCTGCCTCGCCCGCTGCTCCCCTCGGCAGTGTATTTCAATCATTCTGCCTGTCCTGTTCCCCACTCTTCTCTAGTGAATGAATCCTCTCACCCTCCCGTGCCTCTGGCCTGTACCCCAGTTCTTATATAAATAAATAAATCTTTAAAAAAAAAAAAAAAGAAAAAGAAATGTTAACAGCACTCTTAGAGAGATCTTGCAGACAGAAATGAGAAACATGTTATGGAAACTGGAGAAAAGACCCCTATTATGAAGAGGCAGGGGACCAGGCTGAATTGTCTTCTACTGTTTACAGAAAGAAGATGATGAACTTGGATATTTAGCAGATGAGACATCTAAGCACTGTTGAAGGCACAGCCTGGTTTCTCCTTGCTGCTCAGAAGAAAATTAGGGAGGAATGTAAAGTCAGGAAACTGTTAAGGAAAAAAAAAAAGAGCTTGAAGAGGGGCCTCCCTGGTGGCACAGCGGGTTGAGCGCAGCGCTGTGAAGCTGTCCGCAGCCTCTGCAGCACAGGTTCGATTCCCAGCCAGCCAGAGAGATACCCACATGGCACGGCAGACCTCTCCTGTCACGCCCGCTGCTCCCCTCAGCAGTTCTTTCAGTCTGTCTGCCTGTTCTGTTCCCCATTCTGTCTCCAGTGAATCCTCTCACCCTCCTGCACCTCTGGCCTGTACCCCAGCTACTGTATAAATAAAAATAAATAAATAAATCTATCTTTAAATCTTCTAAAGCTTGAAGATTTGGAAAAAATCTCAGCTTATTCATATTGCAAAATATTGAGAAAATGCACTCTGGAGAGAACATCAAAAGTGTGGCAGAATAAATAACAGGCAAGTGACTTATCCATCAGTCCTCCCAGCAGAAGTCATGAATAGAGGTGAGGTATAGCATCAGAAACAACGCCAGTTTGGACAAGAAGGGACAGAGATGATGAAATGAGGAAGCTATTGGAATTCTGGGATTCTATAGATTATACAGGCTTCTGGGATTCTATAGAAAAGGCAAAGGAGCTGAGTCTCCCCGGTGGCGTAGCAGTTGAGCGCTGGGCTGCAAAGCTGCCCGCAGCCTCTGTAACGCCGGTTTGTTCCCCGGCCACCGGGCGAGGGTCCCACATGGCGCGCAGACCTCTCCTGCTGTGCCCACTGCTCCCCTCAGCAGTGTACTTCGGTCCTTCTGCCTGTTCTGCTCCCTGCTCTGGCTCTGGTGAATTCTCTCACCCTCCTGCACTTCTGACTGTACCCACTGCTTGTATAAATAAATAAATAAATAAATTAAAAAAAAAAGAGCTATCTAGTTATGACCATGTGCTAGCCTTTAAGAAAAGGGAAAATGACTCAGAAAGAGGTTCAGAGGTTGGTAGGGCTGCCACTACCATTATTGTTCCAGAGGGCACAACCAAGAGAGCAGTGCTGCCGCATCCTAGTTTTCCAAAGGGTACCTTAGCAAGCCCATAGGACAGATCATCAAGTCAAAGGGGGTATTCTTAAAGTCAAGTGGAATTTTCCTTGCTAAGTGGTCTTAATTGAGACTCATGATCCCTTTCTTCTTGCTGGTTTCTCCCTTTTGAAATGAGAATGTCTATCCTCTGCCTGTCCCACCCCAATACATTTTGAAGTAGATCATTTGTTGTCTGGCTTTACAAGTTCTTAGCTGGATGAATAATACTCAGAGTCACACCTACACCTGATTCAAATGCTACTTAGGTGGGATTTTGAATTGAGAGTTGATATTGAAATAGATTAAGACTTCTGCAGTTGCTGGGACAGAGTGTAGTTGTAATCAAGAAGAACATCGATTCTGTGGGGAAAAAAGGCAATGTGTTATGATCTAAACTGTGCATGTTCCTTCAAAACTTAAATACTGAAAAGCTAACTTCCACTCACTCAGAATGTTACTGGATTTGGACACAGGACCTTGCAAGAGATAAATAAGGTAAAATGAGGTCATATGGGTGAGCCCTAATCCAATGACTGGTGTCTTTATAATTAGGATACAGAGGAGAGACCTTTCGAAAACACAGGAAGAGGACAATCATCTAAAAGTCAAGAGAGAGGCCTTAAAAGAAACCAACCCTGCTAATGCCTTGATCTTAGACTTTTAGGATCTACAACTGTTAGGAATTAAATTTCTGTTTTTTAAGCCAATCAGTACATTTTTATGGCAGCTCTAGCAAATTAATATACAGACTAAGAAGAAGAAAATAAAGACACTGAAACAAACAAAAAAGGAAGAATTAAAAAAGATGTTAGAAGAGGTGGGATTTGAGGTATAAGATAAGGATTTAATCTTCACTGGGAAGACTAAAATAGCAACACATTTGTAGATAGAGTCAGGAAACCTAGGGAGATCTCAAGCCAGATAGTTTGCATTTTTTAAAAGTAGATAAGGAAGTAATACAGTTAACATCTCTATCCTGACCAGAGTGAAGTACTGAAAGTAGTATTAGCCCTTCCCTTTAGTAACAAGGACAACTCCTTGCATATAACAAGTGCTTGATAAAAGGCTAGACACATGAACTAAATTCTAAACTATGAACAGATTAAGTAATGCCAACAGTTATTAATAGCAATGACAAATTTAAGTACAATGTAAACCTTAAAAATGGTAGAAAAGAAAAGCAAGAATCTGTAGACTATATGTTTTTTACCTGTACATTCTTTGCAAGTCAGATGCTAAGACTCCAGTGTCCACATATTTGCCACATCTGTTACTGGTAAGATACTAAAACAAAAAATATAATAAATGTGAAACACTCAATATTTCAAACTCAGTGACTTTAATCAATAAGTAAGAGATTGAGCTATTCAAATTATTATAATTTATTTTTTAAAGGCCAAAGCTTTGTTTTATTTATTTTAAAAATTTATTTATTTATGCATATAAGAGCTGGAGTGTAGGCCAGAGGTGCAGGAGGGTGAAAGGATTCACCAGAGACAGAGTGGGGACCAGAACAGGCAGATCCACTGAAATACACTGCTGAGGGGAGCAGCAGGCGAGACAGGAGAGGTCTGCCGACCCATGTGGGTAGCTCCCTGGCTGGGGATCGAACTCGTGCTGCAGTGGCTGCCAATAGCTTTATAGTGCTGAGACTTAACTCCTTGCCCCTCCAGGGAGGCCCCCATATTATACTTTAATGTAAAGTCCTCATTAATGAAGCATACCAGAAACAGATAAATATCACCAATAACTACTGATTGTGGAATCAGAGAATCTAATTAACATTAGTGATCACTATGATAACACAATAACTAGAATGGTTCTGAAGTAGTGAAGTCTCACTATGTTCTAGGTCCCAAAAACTCCACAACACAGCAATAAACTCACAAAGGCACTAGATGATAATTTTGATTTAAGGGGACACAATAATATTTGACAAGTGACCAATTCTACACCAACTACTGGCCTGAGATACTTCACAGATTCAATACTAAATCACCTTTGAACATGTCCTATCTTTGCAAAACTGGATACTGAGCAGTTACAATAAAAAACTAATGCCGGGCCTCCCCGGTGGCACAGCAGTTGAGTGCTGGGCTGCGAAGCTGCCCGCAGCCTCTGTAGCGCCTGTTCGATCCCCGGCCACCAGGCGAGGGTCCCACCTGGTGCGCAGACCTCTCCTGCCACGCTAGCTGTTCCCCTCAGCAGTGTGCTTTGGTCCTTCTGCCTGCTCTGCTCCCCGCTCTGGCTCTGGTGGATTCTCTCACCCTCCCACGCTTCTGACTGTACCCAGTGTTTATATAAATAAATAAATCAATCTTTAAAAAAAAAAAAAAAAAGCCAATGCCATGCAAAAATCAATGTGGGAGTCCTCCCTGGTGGCGCAGGGGTTAAAGTCTCTGAGCTATTAAGTTGCCAGTCACTGTGGCATGAGTTTGATCCCTATTCAGGGAGCTGACCCACATGGCGCAGCAGACCTCTCCTGTCTTGCCCACTGCTCCCCTCAGCAGTGTATTTCAGTAGATTCACCTGTTCTGCTCCCCACTCTGTCTCTAGTGAATCCTCTCATCAGAGGATCCTCTCACCCACTCTCTCACCTCTGGCCTACACCCCAGTTCTTGTATGTATAAATAAATAAATCTTTTTTAAAAATCAATGTGGGAACAAGATGAGAGTGACAATGTCAATCTGATTGCAAGGTATGAGAAACTATAACAGGCACACAAATCCTTCAATAATTGTGATTATTTAAAAATGAAATACAAATACAGTAATTTTCCTTTAATTTTTATACCTTTTTTTTTCCAAATAACTACTAAGCATGGACTAAGTACTTATTAAGTTGCTTGAACTTAACTACTTAATAAACAGACCTATTAAGTAGTACTTTTGGCCTAGGAGTTCATGAAAAAATTACTAGGAAATTACTGTGACCCTGTTCTAGGCCCTTTTACACATTATCTCTAGTAGTACTGAAAATCCCATGAAGTGGATGTTAGTCTCTCCCATTTTATCGATGAGGAAGACAATTGTCAGACATTTAAAAGGAGATGCTGGGGCTTCTCGTGTGGTGCAAGGGTTTTGGTCTCAGCACTATCAGCCACTGCAGCATGCGTTCGATCCCCGGCCAGGGAAATGAGCCACAAGATACAGCAGACCTCTCCTGTCTCCCCCGCTGCTCCCCTCAGCAGTGTATTTCAGTTACTTTGCCTGTTCTGTTCCCCACTCTGTCTCTGGTGAATCCCCTCACTCCCTCACCCCCACCTCTGGCCTACACACCAGCTCTTGTATGCACAAACAAAATAAAATAAATCCTTAAAAAAAAAAAGGAGATGCTGTGTAGGCAGCATTAATCGGCAATTCAAGATAAAATCTGCACCAGAGATTAAGAAAGTTAGGAGTCACAAATATGTAGATAGCATTTAAAGGTATTAGACTAGATGAGATCACCTATGAAATGTGGGTTGATAAGAGAGGAGTATGATAGCAAAGAAAAAAACGGTAAGAATACATAAGTTCACGTTCAATATTAAGATATTGATCCAGGGCCTCCCCGGTGGCGCAGTGGTTGAGCGCTGGGTTGCGAAGCTGCCCACAGCCTCTGCAGCACCGGTTCGATCCCCAGCTGCTCCCCGGCCACCGGAGGAGGGTCCCACATGGCGCGCAGACCTCTCCTGCCGCCCACTGCTCCCCTCAGCAGTGTACTTCATCAGCCTGCCTGTTCTACTCTCCGTTCTGGCTCTGGTGAATTCTCTCACCCTCCCACGCCTCTGACTGTACCCAGTGCTTGTATATATATAAATAAATAAATCTTTAAAAAAACAACACCACCACTATTTGAGTCTCACCAAATAGGATTGTCTTTAAAAAAAAAAAAAAGATACTGATCCAACATTAAGTTATTGATAGGAAGAAAAGGACCTAAATCGAAGATTGTATAGCAAATTGCCAGTAAGGTAAAAAGAAAAACGAGAATATTACAACACCCAGTCTAGTGTATAGAAAAACCTATCACTTCTTCTAGATTGTTTGCTGGCTGTGCCATTCTAAGATATTCACACACACTACTTTACAGTGCAGATTGTGAAAATGAAAAAAACTGTGGGTAACGTGCCTACTACGTTAGATCCATGTTACTCAGTTTTCTTAGTCCCAACCTGAACCCAGGATTCTTGAGAACAGAAATAAACGTATTCTTTATGGCCCCAAAGCATCCCGTACAATGCGGGCGTTTGAAGAAAATTTTTACTTTTACGCCACAAAACAGTAAGGTTTTAACTCAAAGCCTATCTCCATGCTCTGAGCTGAGCGGAGGTGGACCAGATCCAGGCAGACCCACCAGACAGCACCCTCCCACATTTGGGGCTCCACCTTGAAACCCCACCCAGCCGCCATCGCGGAGGAAAGGCACTGTCAACACGCCCGCGCCCACCCACACCGGGGCGGGCGGCCAGCCGAGTTCCAGCGGGGAGCCGCCCGAGAAGTACCCAGCGGTGTCCTTGGGCAGGCACAGGGACCGCTGTACTTACACAATACCCACCTGGATGACTCGCTGCTTCAGCTTATTATCCACGAAGCCTACGGGCCTTGGCTTCATCGCGTCTCTTTCCTCAGCCACCACCTAGGTCTCGGCTCCACGTGAGCAGGGGACCTCCCCGGGGCTGCCCGTGGCAGGCGCCGGACCAATTACACCCAAATTGAGCTTCACCAGGCCTCCCCTGCGCCGTTTCTCTCAGGATTTTTATTACTACGAGTTAGAAAAAAAACTACGAGAGCTAGAAGGCTTGAAAACATTACGGAGTTTCTAGTCTTATTTTGCAGGCTTATCCAACAGACCCTGGAAGAGAAGGACCCTTTTGAACGTGTGCAACTTTATTGTTCCTACTTGTGCGGACACGTGCGGGGAGGTTCCGGTAGGGGCTGGGTGGCGGATGTCCGTTGGTAAACTTCATTTTGTTTGTCCTATTCCAAACTATTTATCCGCACCCTTTTCGAATGCAAAGTTAGTCTTGACCTAGAATCCTAAAAAACTAAAAACTGTAGATGTTTGGGATAATTCGAGCAGGATAAAAACACCTATCTTGCTGCTTGCTTTCCCATGTAAGCAGTTACATTATTGAGACCGCAGCAAGGAGCTGGATATCAAAAGACTAAGTTTATCCACATAACTAAACCGTTTGTTATGTTGGGAAACTAGTTGGTCTTAGGCTATTATCTACAGTTCATTTGTTCAGCATAAGACTATCTTAGCGTAGAAACTGCTGAGAATTTTAATAAATATGTGTATTGACACCAGGAAGTTTATTGTGCAGTTAAAGAGACAATTATCGGGCCTCCCCTGGTGGCGCAGGTGGTTGAGCGCCGCTCTGTGAAGCTGCCCGCAGCCTCGGCGGTGCCGGTTCGATCCCAGCCTGCGGGTGAGGGTCCCACATGGCGCGGCAGACCTCTCCTGACTCACCCGCTGCTCCCCTCAGCAGTGTATTTCGTCAGTCTGCCTGTTCTGTCCCCGCTCTGTCTCTGGTGAATCCTCTCACCTTCCCGTGTATCTGGTCTGTACCCCGGTTCTTGTATAAAAATAAATAAATCTTTAAAAAAAAAAAAAAGAGACAATTATCAATAATAACTTTTCTTTAAGTTACCGGCTAAAGTTTTGTTAGGGGGAAAGGATATCCTGCGCTAATCCCATACAGGCTTTGTGGCCACCACCCCAACTCCAGACCAAAGCCATCAAGACATTGGGAAAGACAAATCCCGTCACCACCAAAGGGAAGGTGGCTAGGACCTGAGGGTGGAGTTAAGCAGCCAGGGTTGATATAAAAACCAAACATGTGGGCCTTGGGGGGTCGCTATCGCTTGCCTCCTGGCTACACAGCTCCTGGCTGGCGGCCAGCTCTCAGAGTGCCATTTTGGGATTCCTGATCAGCGCATTGGGTAGGAGTCATTTAAAACTTTGTCTCCCACTTTTCTCCCTGAGCTGTACATGTCCTCATTTCCCCTTCCCTTGTAAATAAACCTTTTATTAACCTTTCGTGTGTGCCTGCAGTAGAGCATTGATAAGTCCTTTTAAGCACGCGGGTGAGGACCCACAGTCAGGCACCCTGTTTTGTATTGGGGCTGCCCTATAACAGTTTCTGTTTGCTTGCTTGTTTAATCGTGTTTCCAATATTTTTAATCCAGGTCTGATTTGACTTCTGACAATAGGAAATGTATTGTGTGTGGTGTGCAGAAGTACGAAGAGAGAGAAGAGATGGATTTAAAAGAAATCTGTGAGATATTAACAGATAAGTTTATACTTTTTAAAAATTTGAAGTACAACTGACATGTAGCACTGTGTTCATTTCATATATCCCACATAGTGGTTCAATATTTGTATGTATTGTGAACTGATCACCACAATAAATTCAGTTAACATTCATCACCATACATAATTCCAAAAAAAAACTTCTTGTGGTGAGAATTTTTTATTAATTGAAGTTATTTAAATTGACATACATTATTTTAGTTTCAGGTGTACAATGTAATGATTCAGCACTTGTATAAGTGGCAAAATGTACATCACAGTAAGTCTATTTACCATTGTTATGAAAAGAAACAAAAGGCCCAAAATGGAGTTAGTTAAGCCAAGCACTGCCAAGATGTAATACCTAACCCTAATTGCAGTTTCAGCCTTCCCCAAAAATGGAATTTTAAACCAATCAATCTGGAATTTCCTAGTCAACCCTACTGAGGTAAACTGCATAAGACCCTCTACCTCTCTTGACATTTCAGTTTTTTTCTTTAAAAGGAGTGAGTTGTGTACATGAGGATTAAATACTTTATAGACAAGAAAAAAATCTGCACTAGAACTAACTTACTCATCATCTTCTCCATATTCCTTGTCTTCCTTTTTTACCTCTTGCCTTTTCTTTTTCTTTTTTTTTTTTTCCAGCCTTGATGACTCCCTTTTTGGATACGTCAAGTTTTCCTTTAGCTTAGTTTGTAGCAACATCCTTTAATATTTCTCTTTCAGCTTAGCAGCCATCTTTTCACAGGCTCTTTGTCATCTGCAGCAGTGTTAGTCCACTTGTCTCCCAGTTTCTTGGCAAAATCACCAGTGCATAGGCCAGCATGTTCTCTTTTGATTTTTTGCATGATACTCAGAACAGTGTGAGTACAATGTTCAGAACAGTACAAGAAAAAGGCTGAAGTGTACCCCCTGGGTACACTGGAATCCTTAAACTTTTTTTGTTTTCCCTTTAAGGGGAATATAAGTTTTCATTTCTCTTTCACAATGGGCCTTGTCTGCTTCATACTTTCCTTTCTCTTTAGCAGACATGGTCTTCTACCTCTCTGAGCACTTCTTAGAAAACTGAGAACTTGACTGAAACATCTGGATGCTTCTTGTGCTCCTCTGAAAGTTTGCACAGAAGCGTGTGATGACATTTTGCCCCTCAGCATCTTAGCATCTCCTTAGGCCATGTTTAATTGTTTTTCCTCAACAACACAGGTCTTCCAGCTCCTGTCCGGCTCTCATTTGCTGGTGCTGTCTATGTGGAGCTGAATGCACAGCAATGACTATGAAAGCAGGAGCCAGAAACAGATTCCTTAAATGCTCTTTTCAGTGCTTCTTATCTGTACACTGAACCAAGTACAAGTTCTCATTCTGATCTTCAAAACATTGGTCAACCTGGCTCCAACTTCATCTCCTATTTCGTTATTATATATGTATTCGGTTTTTAGTTAAGTAACATTACTGCACATATTCGGTCAATGCATGTTTGTTGAAAGCCTACTACGTCAAACACTGGATACAGCCAAGAAAACAAAAGATTCCTATTCCTATGGGGCTTATCATTCTATTGGAAGGTAGTGATAATAAACAAAAATATTACACAGCACTTTATTTTCACTGACTTTTCCTTTTGTCTACAGTGCCCTTGCTGATAAGTCTATGAAGGTCAGAATCCTAGTTCATTATCTCACTTTCAGACTTTCCTGATATTTCTCTTTGTAAAAATCTCCACCCTTTGAAGAACCCTCTTCTCGATATTTATTCAACAAGTATTTATTAAGTGCATGCCAGCTTCAGTCCCTGCCCTGCCCTTTAGTTTTGTGGGGGAAAGCAAAAGGATTATAACTATAACTTTTTTTTTAAATAGTGATTTATTTTAAGATTTAATTATTTATGCATACAAGAACTGGGGTACAGGCCAGAGGTGTGGGGGGTGTGTGTGAGAGGATTCACCAGAGACAGAGTTGGGGAACAGAACAGGCAGATTATGGAATACACTGCTGAGGGGAGCAGTGGGCAAGTCAGGAGAGGTCTGCTCTGCCATGTGGGTAGCTCCCTGGCCGGGGATCGAACTTGTGCTGCAGTGGCTATGGAGAGCTTCATAGGTTGCCTCTTAACCCCTGCGCCACCAGGGAGGCCCCATAACTATAACTTTTTATAACATTTTATTAGGTTAGGTATTTATGTACTTGATTATATTAATCTTAAGTAAAGATTCCTTGCAGCAAGTAGTGTAAATGACCAAATTGGGAATTTTGCTCATGTCCAAGAAGCGAAACTCTTAATCACAAGAATTTTATTTGAGGTGGCTACCAAGGAAGTCGATGGGGTAGGCACCCCAAAACAAGCAGATCCTCAAGTGGCAGGAATCCTGGGATTTTAGGAATGTGAGGGGAGTGCAGAGCCTCACATTTCCATGACTAAGGAGGTGAAGAGCAGTCTAGGCCATAGGAGTCAAGGTGTTTGACTTTCCCAACAGGGTGTTTTCTTAGCAATTAGCAGATGTTTGTTTCTGTCAACTGTCACTGTCAACCAGAGAGACAAAGTGAATTTTTACTAGGGATGTAACAAAATCATTTTTCCAAGTTCTCAGGATTGCACGTGGAGCCAGCTGTTAATCATAAGAAGGGAATAGGGGAGTGCAATTCAGTGAGTTAACATTTAATTCTAAGAGGGGGTGCAATTTAGTGAATTAACAGAACAGCTCTGAAGAGGGAATATGAAAGAGTAATTAGAGTTTAATACTATTATTCCTAATTTTTAGTCTAGGAATATTTTCTCTTGCAAAGTGGAGAGGATTTGACTACAGTAGTACAAATGTAGTCAATGTCTAGTACCTTTAAAATTATAATTTAGGGTCTTCCTGGTGGCGCAAGGGGTTAAGCACAGCACTGTGAAGCTGTCCACAGCCTCTGCAGCAGATGTTTGATCCCCCTGCCGGCCAGGAGCTACCCAAATGGCTCAGGAGACCTCTCCTGTCTTACCTGCTGCTCCCTTCGGCAGTGTATTTCAGTCGTTCTGCGTGTTCTGTTCCCTACTCTGTCTCTGGTAAATCCTCTCACACACAACCCCCCCACCCTCCCCCCCCCCACACCTCTGGCCTGTACCACAGATCTTGTATACGTAAATAAATAAATCTTTAAAAAAATTATAATTTAACCCTGTCAATATCAAATCTGCCACACAGAAGGAAAACAGGCTGATGGGCTCAGCAACATCTACCAGCAGTTTATAATCTGTCATAGACTACTATCCTACATTTAGGGTTAAATTCATGGGTGTTTGACCTGTGCAATCACAAAAGACTGTGCTCAGAAGGGCCCAACACTTGGTTTGATGTTCTGCTTTTGCCATCTTGAAATTTGTTTTGAATAAGTGGCCTCTTTTAATTTTGCACT